TTGCTGTGCAAGCATGGCAGGAGGGGAAGGACTGCGTGGTTGTGCTCTCAGCGGCATGTTTCCCCTGAAGAAATCTCATGTCTCATCTACCTTTTTTTTCTCTTTTGGGTGTAAGATTTTCAAGAGGTACTGCTCCAGCAGCGAAATCGGAAAGCTTGTTACTAGAGGCATGGTCTTGTAGCAGGAAAAGAGCTGAATCCAATGGCCTTCTCCCTTTAATTTCTGTAATCCTTAACCCCTCCTAATCGAATTAGACCTGTGATCTTATTCCATATTTCTAACTTTGTTTGGAGGAAATGGATGTATATATCTCCTGTTAACATCACCTGAGAGCCTGGAACTGGCTGAGATGTACGTATGCCTGGAAGAGCTGAGTCACAAAGCTGAATAATGGCAAGGGAAGCAAATTTTTTGGATACAGTTTACCTAAAATGTCACCTTCAGTGATCTGGAGTGCAGCTGTGCTGCTTCTCCTTTAACAAAGGGCACAAAGGTAGTAGGCTTGGCCAGCCTGACTAGATATTAATAGTGCCTACACCTTTGGCAAGGAGTACTGACCTTGCTGTGCATGGGCAGCAAAGGATTTGTTGACCTCTCTGTTCCCACCATGCAATGCAACATCCCAATTAATGGCTTTGCTCCCACCAGCCTTCGTCTGTGCCTGGTGAGGGAAACATCCCCAGAGTGGGAGAGGTTTTTACAGACCATCAGCAGCTGTCACTTGGGTATTTACCAAAACAGCTGTGTAGGGCTGAACAGAGATCTGAGCATGATTCAGGGCAGTTTGCTGCTGAAATACCAGCTTGAGCTGTGACTGAAGGTCTACCCTCACCCATGTCCTCATTGAGAGTGGGCAGCTGAAGCCCTGGGACCATTTTGCTGTAGGGTGGGCAATGGGCATGTGGACTGGAGAGGCTCATCTCACTCAAGGAGTTGGATGCATCTCTCCATTTGCTTTTGAAAACGGGACAAAACGTGACAGTTTTGTCAGTGGCAGTTCAGTGACATCAGACAGGTGCTGCTGTTGCATTGCCATCTGACAGACAGCATCCATGTGCAGATGGGGAGCAGCAGCAGTAGACATGTGCCTCTGATGCAAACTCCATGCTGGCCTGTGATGCCGACTGCAGTCTGTGGAGGTTTCCCATTGTATGGTGACCTCTTTTTGCAATAAAACTAGGTTAGCACATTGGTGAAGTGGCATATGGATAGCTGGTGATGGGTAAAGGCAAACTGGGAGAGAACAGAAGGTTTTAAAAACTGTTTAGAGCCTAATAAAGTGACTGAGGACCATGAGGCCTCTGCTCAGCAGGATTTTTGCTTACTACCAGTTTAGTTGGAGACAGTCTTGAAAGGGCTATGTCCTTAGTTTGTAGTGAAAATTTTTAGAATGTGACTCAAGTGTGGGTAGTCTGGTGACTAAGATGTTTGCTGATGGACGAAGGTGAGGCATCTGGCAGCCTTCATGCTGTACTAGTAAAATGCCTTATCCCTCTGATAAATTTTACTTAGGCCATAACCTCAATCCATGCAAGTTGCAACTTGCTGTTTTACACTGGATTTCAAACTGACACCTACAAAGAAGCTGAGATTTTTGTCACATTTTTGCATACTTGTAAAGGCAGAAAGAGGGCATAGCCAATTAGAGCAGTAATTACTTCTGCCATTTCACTTAAACCTATCTGTGAATGAGTTTTCAGAAAGCTTAATGCAACAGATGGGCAACATAAATTACCATATCCATTCACAAAAAAAAAAATCCTACCTGTAATTATTTTGGTTTTTCTGATGGGAAAGGCAATATTTACAATTGTCACTGTGAATTTTCTCAGTTGTCATCCAATCAGACAGGAGATGAAGGACAGTCACATCCTGAGTGTGGATGGCAAACTCAGTCTCCATCTTAAAGACTTTTTACAATGTCAGGAACTGTTTTTGAGTCTACAGTTGAATTATTTTTTCTCTAATAACTTTTTTTTCCCCCAGAAAGTTTGCTGTAGGTGTGCATGAAAAAAAGGAAAAGGAGGAGAAAAATACAAGCCTGAATTAAACAATATGAGGAAAGAGAAGAGGTTATACAAAGTTCAAGAAGCAAAGGGTTAGAAAAACACTGAGATAATGAAAGATAATATATAGATGAAGTAACTGTAATATTGTTCCCCCTGAAACTTGCCTTGTTGCTCCTGTGGGAAAATAGAAGTTGACGTGTGCTTACTTTGGATTGCCTGTCTGGAAAAACACATGAGATGATACACATGAGATGACATCCTTGTAGGCCTGTTGATGTGAGTGATAAGTTATAAAAGAGAGAGGAGGTAGCAGTAAGCCAACTATTCTTGATCAGACAAGACTGAGGAAAAGGATATTTTTTTAAGCCCAGTTAAACATCAGTTCAATACTTTGTTGTTACCTTCTTTTACTTCTTCTGAAATTAGGAACCTAATGTATTTTTTGAGTATGCCATGGATAGAAGCAGTATTATGGGAGTTTAAATTGAACAAGGATTTAGATTATTTGTTGAGACAAACTTTTTCAGAGTAAGGCTAATGAGACCCTGGGTTTCCCAGGGTCTTCTTTCACCAAAGGCCCAAGGAAGAAGTTAGAAAGTACTGCTTTTTGGGCACAGTTGCTGCTGCCTGAAGGATATGAGAGGACTTTCTTCCTTTTCAGCCCCATTTCTGTGATTTTTTTGGAAAACTTTTCTGAAAAGTTGCCACTGAGTTTTGGGGAAGCACGTATGCACAGATAATTGCTGTGATCTGAATAACTTCCCAATAATTTTGTCCAGGGTCTTTTTTTCTCTGGGTCTGCTACAGACCTGCCTAGTTTAGGTAACAAGCATCTTGTTTAGAGTCTTGCACAAAAGCATAGATATCTAAGTATTTATGTCAGTATGTTTCTTATTTCTTTATGTGTTTAAAGCATGAATATATTTTAACCTCCTTTATAATTTTTAAATAAAGTTCAAAACTATAAGTGCTTAACACTTGAAACATTGTATGAAAATATCTGAAAGCTCTTTTTCATAAAACATCTTTAAAAGCTTTGGTTTTATTCTTTAGTCTTATTTTTCTCTTCTAGTTGCTTCTCACAGTAACATAAAGGCAAATGAAAGGGAAACAAGTACTAAATATTGGGAATGGCAAATAGAAAAAGGATAAGTAGAGAAAAATATTCTGCTTTTTGTGGGATTTTAGAAATCTGGGTGCTTGCTAGAAGTACTGACTCTAATCCAATGTGCTTTTATTGGCATATATGAACAAATTATCCAGGGCACAGCTATTTTTCTTACTGTAGTAAAAACAGGGATGCTGAATAGAGCCTTTGTGTAGGACAAATATTTTTCCTTTGAAACTGGGTACAAGTTTAAAGTTTATCTAGCATGCCTTCTGGAAAAGGGAAAAATACACTTTTCAATCTCAGCAAATAGAAAATGTATTATAGGCAACTCAGAGCTCTATAAACAGAATTTAATCACTGGTGTAGTTTTATAACAACATCTCTTAGTTGCCTAACAATGTGGGAGAAAGCTCTGTTTATATAGGCCTTTGTCCCTCAAAAATTTTCTGTGGATGCCCCTTCTGTAGCATCTTTTGCAGGGCTCTAATGTTTTCTAGCCACATGGGTGTAACCAGGAGAATAAGGGCATTATGTAAGGTAGTTTTGAAGATAACATTGTTCAAGGGCTGTCTCTATGGGTAATCCTTATTCCAATTGAAATAACTTGCTTTGTTGTAGTATCATTGCTTTTCAGAGTTGAGCAGCCCTTGAGGTCTGACAGTTCTGTTCAGTATCGTGTATTAGAAGCATCTCCAGTGGGTATCATTTGTGCAAGATCCCCATAAAGTAGTGACTCAACTTGAAAGATAAAGACCTAATTATTTAATCATTCTTGGGTCAGTAGGAGGGTAACCATATCTTTGACGAAAGGATTTTAGATGAGTATTTCTTAAGTAACATTAAGATCACTAGAATCACCTCTAGAACAATTCTTGAAGAGCTTGGAATTGAATGGTGGAGTCAAATTTCCCCAGCCTCATTTGTCACTCCCCCAACCAGGAAAAGATCAAAAAGCATTACCTCATATGGCCTTTTAGCTCCTTCTCTTTCTCCTTTTCACCTTCCCACCCACATTTACTTCACACAGACACTTATTTCTAGTAGAAGAGCCAGTTGAAGAACAGTAAATCCATGTTCTGAAAGATTTTTGAAAGTTATCTGCCTTCAAAACCTGTTGGAACTTTACAAAAAAAAGAGCTCCTCTGAGGTTTCCTGAGAGCAGGGTATCTCGGGCTCCTGACCTGGACTGAGGTTTCCACTGGGAAACTCTTGGAGACCAGTTTAGAGAAAATTTTACATTGAAAATACCTCAGCAAACATTTTCAGTTGAATGAATGAGCAAATTGCAATAAAGTGCATGGGTTTAGCATTTCAGAATCCCTTTCTAGTGATAGTTTGTTAAATTTGTCTTGGTAACCAGCAATGACAAATTCCTGGGCAAAATTATTTTGTGATATGCGAGAATTCGAACTCCATAATTAGAGGAAATTGGAGCCAAAATCATTTTGCACTGATTACAATTTATCTTTTATAAAAGTTTCTAATTTTGTCATCTTTTATCACAGGATGTTTACTGGAAACCTAGTATGTGATTATAAAGGCCCTAAAATTTAAAGAAGTATAAATACTTTTCCTTCTGAAAGTCAAGCCTGAAACTTGCCAGGCCTGGGCATTCACATCAGAGGCTGCCTTTGGAAATATGAATTTGTTACTTGACTTTGGGAGGGGTGGAATTAACATTTATGCATTTGATCAAGTAATTTAAAACAAAACATAAAAAATTTGACATATATGTTTTTGTAATAGTAATGCAGGTAGAGGAAGGGCTTGGCCCAGATTAGTGGATGAGAAAAATGTATCTGTACAGAGAAACATAAATAATTGAAACTACAAAATCAGACATGAAATGTCAAAAGCTTAAATCTATTTTATTCCCACAGATTGTGGAATCTGTTATTGTTCAGCCTATTTTCTTCATGAAACAATTACTGAGTTACCTAAGTGCTGTAAATACTGCGGCAGGGTGTGACTTCAGTCAGCTGTGACCTCAGTTCAGTAAGTTCTTTTACACTTGACTCACTTTGTGCTGAATAATTGTAACCTCAATGTGGAATAATCAGTTATGCTTAGATGTTTAAGATAGTGCCTTTTGTTTACTCACTGAATTGCAATATATTCTTTTTGGGTTATGTGCACGTTAATGCAAACAAAAATTGATGCCCAAGAATTTTTTCATGATGTAGACAAGCATCTCCAGCTGATTCTTGGATGCAGGTGAGTTATTGTGTGTCTCAAAGTGCTGAGAACTGCGTAGACTATGATCAAGGTCATGCATCCTGCTGCAGTCATGTGCCTGTTTTTAACCTCAGGGGGAAGTGGTCCTTGAAGTTTATTGTTTTGAATTCATGGTTCAGAAGGAAGAATCATCAGGGAAATTCTGTGTAATATTAGAGTAACTGGCTATTTGACTTCACACTAGTGTACAAGCAAACATGTCACACAGGTCTTCTCATACCTCTGTGTTACTCCACTATGCTGTGGAGTAAGAAATGATTTTGGATTACTTGACTGGTGTCAAGGGAGTATTTCAAGTAGAAGGGAGAAGAAGAAAAAGGAATGTTCCCTTGAAAAACATTTTTTCCTGTGCTTATTTTTCGATGACAGTGAAATAATGGTATTTTTTGACAATATTAAATTGAGCATCTCCGTTCACTTAGCACCATTGATTGGCATTCTGGGTTCTTTCTTTGTAAAAGGGTTTGTAAAAGTCAGTGTCTGCTGGTGCTAGGTCTTAAAATAGCTTATAGTGCAACTTATTCTCCAATTTTATTTAAAGTATAATTTGTTTTCTTTTGCCTTTTCTCTCTTCTGTCTTATTTTCAGAGGCTTTATGGTTTTATTGTTACATTACTATGTACTTGTACTATTATTGAATGATAGAAGAGATAATAATCTAGATGACAGCTTAGATACCAACTTTCAGGAGCAACCCTTTCCCCCAGAGATTAAAGACAAACTAATTTTTGTAGGTCCCAGAGTTCGAAAGAAATAAGATCCCTGTAGCACAGGGTAAGTTTTAAAGAAAACATACAGTTTTCTCTTGTATATATCTATAAACCAGCTTCAGAGTCAAACCTTGGTGCTGAATTAGGGCATGGGTTTGACTCACAGGTATTGGCATTGTTGCTGCTGTTCACTACAGCTTCGTAACTACATGGCTTTGAGGACAAATTCTACTTCTTACGTGTTTTATGTGTGTATGACAAGTGAAAACCTGGTCCCTTTTAGGAGACATGCTGAGTAGATTTTAATTCAAATACTCTCCAGGAATTGTACATTAATTAAATATTTTCATATATACATGAAGTTGCAATTACATTGAAAATATTAGGGTAATATTTAAAATTACTTCTGAAAATATAAAAACTCTACTAACTTTGCGTGTATTAAAAAGTTGCTTAATCACCAAGACTTGTGATGGTGGTGTTTGTTTTAAGTCATGTTACCTAAAGTCTTGAGCTTTTGCATATCAGCCTTGTGAAGCCTTGTTTGCTGCCTTGCTTGCACATTATTTGATTTAGTCCTTCCCTAGGGAAGTTTGAAGAGTTAGTTAGCATAATTAGAGTATGTGCTCATTTGTTAAGTTTTAAAAGAAAAACTTTAGGTTTTCTATTGAGCTCTACTGTGAGCTTATCTTTCAGCTCAGCATTGCTAATTTGCTGTGGTCTGATCAATAACATTTCAATCTTAAGTATTTGTCCACCTTCATTAAAAAGACCTTTTTCTGTTTTCACTGAACTGCACGGAAACTGCCCTGTTAATTTTATTTTTTTTTTTTGCACCATATACAAAATTTGGATCTTACAGTAAAATAAAGAGTATGAACCCTTCCAACAGTATATTTTGAGTCTTTTCAGATATATCTGAATTTGCATTCAGAGCACTTTATTGGTGAAAGAGATGAAGGTTAAATTAATGATGCTGTATCATTGAAGAATACCATCAATGGGTGGCCCACAGTGGTATGAAGCTTGGCTGTTTAAGGTGATTGGGAAGCTAGAGGATGTTGCTTCTGCTTACCTTTTTTTGTGTTGTTTAATTCAAGATTGTAACCTATTACTGACATAGAAATTTTTTCTTCTGTGGAACTAGCTGATGGACTTTAATGGAAACGTGCCTTTGTTCTGATTTATTCTTTGTGCTGCCACATTAAGAATAGGTGTCAGCTGTGTGGGGCATTTGTGTATGACTCCTTTTTCTTTCTTTTTATAGGGATAGAGTTGAAGTTTGGGTAGGGAGCAATAAGAAAGTCTTGCACTGGGAGTCATCTGAGCCCACAGTAACTGCAGTGGATGTGTGTGTGTGTGTATGTGGCTACAAGGTCTACAGACCCAAAACTTAGGAAAGCAAATTTGCGAAAACAAGAATTAAATCTTGCCACAATTCTATCAAACTAAATTAGAGAGGCAATTAGAGTGTCTTGTCCTTTTTTTTATCTTCCTCCTCCATGTTAATTTTAAGGGTATGGTTAGAGTATGTCATTGTATATTTTCAGTTCAGCTTTTGTTACGAACTCTACCACGCCAATTTTAATAGTGTCACTGTGTCATGACACAGCTATTAACTTGCAAATAAATGTGGATAGGTGGTTTAGCCTGTTTCATTTTGTCAGCTTGCAGCACTATACAATTTTTTAACCATGTTGGAAGTACTTTCATTTTTTGGCCAGAATGAGACAAAAACTTTATCTAAACCTGAAGATATTGTCTTGTTCATTTTTATATACTTACAGTCTTATCATTTATTGAAATTTTTGCAAGTGACTCAGTGCAAGAAATGGCTGAGAAGTATTTCAGCAGCTACACTCACAACCTGTTTTTAACATGAAGGGAAAATTATATCCAAATTTCATTACCTTTTTGACATGTGTTATCTTCAGGGAAGCATGATCATATGGCATATGGATGGAAGCACCCTTTTCACACTGTTTCCTGATGAATGTTCTTCTGTCTCCTTTAAACATGCACATTAGTATTATAATATTGTTTGTAAGTTTGCATTTCTGAGTAGAACTGATGGCTTGTTCGTTGTACACTGCAAACTGACTTTAAAATTAGTGTCTGGGGTGCCCTCTTTTGAAATCTTATCTTATCTGAAGTATGATGTAACAAAATATAGAAGGAAGTAATGAAAAAATTCCAAGTGTGAAGAAAGGAAATACAACTGTGGTTTCTGTGCTATGTGAGTGGAATTCACCAGTGAGTGGTTCCAAGGCAGGTTGAGTTTATTTGATTTTATTAAAAAAAAAAAAAAAAAAAACCACCAAAAAAAAAAAAACCAAAAAAGGAGAGAGAAAAAAAAAAGGAAAGAAAAAAAAATAAAGCAAACACCAAAAACCCAAACCAGAACAAGTTTTTTATACATCTCTTTTCAAGTGGAGATACTGAGTGGGTTGTAGCCATGCTGGAGTTCGGATTTATGAGTAAAAATAGTGTCCTTTCCTAGCTTACTACTGTACTTGAGGTAGACTTATAAAAGATACTCATTTTATGGTACATTATAATCCCTTTTTCTACTTCCCTCCACAAATTCCTTCACGTGCCATAGACACCTTTTTCTTTTAACTGTTCTGTATGTATGGAGGTTGACTGGGCATTTGGCTTGGTTTTTTTCTTTTTCTCCTTTCTTTTTTTTCTATCAAACAAGAGACTGGTCTTCCACCCTGGTGGTACATTCTGCAAGGTCTGCATAATGATCCTGATCTCGGTAATTAATACGCATGTTGCTTTGGATGAGGTATTTAATTCTCTAATTAAAAATAGCAGCAAGTGGTGACTTCAATGCTTGGCATATTTATTAAAGTTCCTTTGTTGCAATAGGGATTTTAAGTCTTTGAAGCTTTTGTATCTGTAAAGCTGTTTTGTTTTCTTTCTATACAGTTAATTATAAATCATGACCCAGACCTGAGTGAAATGAATGGGGATAGGTTGCTATGCCACAATAAGAACCTGTTTTCAAGCAAAGTCTTTATTAGTGTGTCAATAATAAGAGTTAACTCTGTGAACACGATCTATCTGAAGTTTATTAATTCAGTTCTTCCTGTTGGTCTTCATATTTCTCCCCTTTCTTAAAATAAAAGATAGCTATCTTAACCGTATTGTTAGAATATTTCCTTAAGAGTGAATCACTGAAAGATATCATAATAGGAAAAAGATGACCTAAAGAACATTTTTTATCCTCTTAGTTTTCTAATAGCAAGTTCTTCTTTTAACTAACAATTATTGCTCTGAAGACAGTTCTTGCATTAACATATTAAGTCTTCTGCTTTGACTGATAATTATGACACCAAATTTTCTTAATAAATAGGAATATTGGTAATGAATTTAACATAGGACAAAGTCTTAACAAAGGACTGAGGAAAAAATGTTAAATTTCAGAAAGCGTTAATGAAAATCAAATCACTTTTTGAAACTGGACGAAACAGCAGTGATCAAGCTCATCTGCTGCCCTGCAGAGGTGGAGGTGAAAACACTTACAAATCCCTCCTCCTGGGCAGTGCTGTGTGCCTTGTCTTCTGCCTGCCCAGAGTTGTATTCATTTGTCTGTCACCATCTTTGGTTGCTTGAAATGCTCCTTCACCTCTGACCTCTTACACAAACAGGTAGATAATATTCTGGGTATAAGTTCAGCTTCCTGTAAGGAGTGAAATTCAGGGAGGAGATGGGGTCACATCCAGTCTTTTCCTCCCCAATCCCAGGTTTCTTTGGCAGGAACCCCAGTTACCTAACATTGCATCCAGCAGAAGGGTTCTTTGGGGGTGCACTAAAATCCAAACGTAGGATTTAACTTAGTGCAGGTTTGTATAAACTAAAAATAACGTAATTGGTGCTCATGGCCTTGCCAGACAACTTCTCTGAATCCAGAGAAGACATGAAAGTTAACAGCATTTTCAAAATGATGTTACTGTGGCTATTTCATTGGCATATTTGCTTGAAGTCCTGATGCTTGGACACAGGAGTGTGTACTCGAGTATATATATTCCTTTCTCAGAAATCTTCAAACCCCCCCCATCATAAATAAAGAGTGGCTGGAGAGGAGCAAAGGGGACAACAGGAGGTGAATCAAGTCCAAATGTTTGTGTTGAAACTGCGCCACTGGTAGGACCTGGTTTTCAATTTTCTGTGTGATTTTTGCTGTAATCTTTTTGACCAGCCTTTGGATGCTCCAATTCACTTAATAGAAAACTGAAAACATAGCAGTGCAAAGCTGCTGCCAGTTCAACCAATTGCAGCTTCTCTCAGAGAAATTCTGAGTTCAGTGTACTGAGGATGTAAAATCTCCAGGGATCATTTCTGAAGTATTACTTTCTTATGCATGCATGTGCATGTTGGTGTTTATCTCAAGGCAAGGTGTTGAACAACCAGCAGAACTTGTGTTTTTGCTCGTGGTCGTGCTCTGAAGGAAGTCCCGAAGCAGAGGGGCAGCAGCAACATTTCATGTGGCTCCTCAGGACATATTTCTGCACAGAATTTCCAATTTGTAAAATTTGTGGCTGGAGCAAAAATACAAATAGGATAGTGATGGGTCAGAACAACAAGGAGATACTATTTAAAAACTTAACACAAGTAGGGAAAGTGTGTGTGGGTGACCAGGATGCAGTTTGAGAAGAAACAGATGAAAACCAGCAAGTCATGCAGCAAGTTAAGTGGGTTTTGTACGTTCTGTAGAATAGCAGTGCTCAATGCTGGGGGATAGCAATAAGGAGCATTTTTATTGAATACACAGTGTAGCATGGGTACATCGAACCTTTTCGTTGTTTTTCTCCTTCTATGATATTTTTAGAAGGATAAGGGTGGAGAGAGAGTGTCCTTATCTGATATTACTACTCTGTCAGTTCCACTTCAGAAAAGTGTTACCTTGTAGTAATCCACCCGTGGTTGTTTAGGCTGTAGCTGCACCCTGTGCCTGCAGCTCTATCTTGGGCAGAATTCTCCGGGGATAGGGGGGAGGTGGGGTTGGGAGCACAATGATATAACAATGGCTTGTTGCTAAAAACACTTTCTTAATTGGTAGATAATTATCATTCCAACTGTTACTGGCTTTCCTTTTCCTTCCCCTACATCCTTCTCTCCTTAACCCTTCCTCCTCTGTAATTTCTAAAATACCCATGTCATTACATTGTTTCTCTTTTTGTTTCCATATGATATTGTGATCTGCCACTGGGTGGGACTGATTGCTTCAGGATGAGTGGAAAAGAGCACCAGTGTCTGGAATATCTGATTTTCTTAAATGAAATATCTATGCCTTTCTAGAAAAGGTGGTGGTAGGGGTTAAATAAATTGAGAGGGTTTGTTACTTTCAAACTCCTAGGAAATTGGATGGCATGACATGCAAGTTGTTGATGTGTCAGCTTTTTGCACGTTAATTTCATTGCTTTCTTTAGGTGCCACGCTACAAGATGAGGAAGACGAAGAGTATTTTTGCATTTGGACATTTTTTTAAGAATGAATATTTATGAGTGATAGAATCATGTTGTATACTGGTATGGTTCTCCCCATGCTTGGGATTAGATGACCTGCAGACTACTAAATAATCAAAGTACATCTGTCTCAGAAATGGTTTGTCTGTTAGAAAGGCTGGACCCCATTTACATAGCTGCTGACTATCAGGAAACTGATATATTCAAAAATAAAGCTGATGGCAGCAGTGAAGTGGATTTATTTTTGTTCAGTCTCTAATCCTGTCAGAAGATAATTTAGTGTTCATTTGTGTTTAGAGATTTCATATTTATAACTAGTTTCTTACTTGTTTTAGTAATGTAATATTTTAATATATTAAGAGATAAACACCTTATTATATATGTCTTGGTATGCATTATTATTTTATCAGTTTTCCTATTATTCTTTTCTTCTTGAATTCTTATTTAATTTTCCTGGTTTTAAATACTTCTCTTTCAGAGTAGGCATGATTTCTTTGCAGGATCCTGAGACATGACCATTTTTGGGCTTATTCATAAGTAAACTGTTGATAATTCAGGCCTGCTTAAAGAGGGATTGTACAGATAATTGTGAAGGATGTTTATTTTAAAGGCTAGGACACCAGAGTATGCTACTGTGAACTGCTGGGCTGAGGTGAAAGGGAAGATTAAAGAGGAAGTGGAGTTTATTAATAGAGGCCTCGATGACAATGTCTTTGCAGTGTGCAGGAGTTGACTTTTGCTACAGGACTGACTGGTTAAAAGAGATGAAAGAGCATTTGAGATGAGAAATACAGCAGAGAAAGTTGTACAAGGGAATAATAAACAAAGCACTGCACATTCTGTTACTCTTGTGGTTTTTCCCTTTTCTCCATCATGCACTTAATTAAAAAAATAAATTAAAGAGTTTTCCTAAAATTTATTTTTCTGAAACATTTACATTGAAAGATATGAAATTGACTTATAATTTTGGGGGATTATGAGTAGCTCTTTGATGCTGTTATAAATATATAGACTAATTATAAATAATTATGGTAAAGGGTTTGTATTCATATTCAAGAGCTTTCTTGAACAAAGAACAGAAACATTGCATAGCCTCTTAAAATTATCATATCAAGGTAGTTGTCTTGGCTTTTCAAAAGCATTGGAAAATTGCGTGAGGGACAGGAAATATTGTTGGCTTTACTCAACTTTCAAATAGCAAGTTGTGTTTTGTTTGTGCATCAGCTAAAACTGACTAAAGCTTTTGTGCTTGGCAGAACAAACTACTGGCCTTTTTTTTTTAAGAGTAAAAATTTATGATTTCTGATTTTCAGTATCACTTCATTCGAAATAGAGCTTTGAAGCTTTTTGTATTTACTTTAAGTGGTGTTATGTGTTACAGTGGGCAAGTATTTAGTCATCAGATATGTTTTCTTTCCCCAGTGTGAAAATCTGCAGCTCAGCTTCATTGCTGCTTTAAAATGCAGTGTGTCATGCGGACTTCAAAGGCACAAGCTTGAAATTCTAATATATTACGTTCCTTCTACTTAAAATTTCTGTTTCACCACTTTCATAAAATTAAGTGGAATACAAATACAAACCAAGTATTTGTCAGATTAAGATGTCAGAGGAGAGGAATTATTCTGAGTTTTAAACCAAGGTTTTTTTCCCCAGTTCTCACTTTAAAGCAGATAGTTGCAGAATTTGTTATAAATACAACTATGAAAAAGATTAAAAATTATAGATTATGCCAAATAGGATTATTAAATAAGTGTTATCTTAAACAATGTATGCACGGAAAGTAGAGGAAGCTGGGGATACCAACAAGCAATGGAGATAATTTGTGTAAATGTTTTGGATCTGATTGTTCTTAGGAAGCTAATCACAGCGTAAACTAGTAAGCAGGGCAGAAAATTGGGCAATGGTTGCAGATGATAAGAATTAGTAGTGTATAGGAAGTGTTGAAGAGCTTCATGGCAGCATGAGCTGGAGAAGAGCACTGGGAGTAGCCCTGGTCCATGGAGTCACTGAAACAGAACAAGAAGTGCACAGTGACCTGGCAAATTCTGCTGAGAAAATGAACAGTTATATCCTTTCAAGTCATGGGACAATTTCTGGATGCTTCCCAAGGGTTGTAATTGATAATGAACTGAGCAGCACTTGGATAGTAATTTATTGGAGACAGTTGCTAAGGACTGCACTCTATAAAAGGCAAGTGGGATGTGTGATATATTTGTGGGGAAATGAAGTAAAATGTAGGTATGTCACTAAAGAGGTTTTGCAAGGAGCAATCAAAGATTTAAAAGAAAATTAAATAAATATAAAAAAACCCCTAAACCAAATTACTAAGTATATGCTCACTAATGGCAACACCACACTTCCACGTGATTTCGCTTGGCATATGAAATGCAGCTCAGTTCTAGTTAGCTTTTCTAACTGCATCTGAGGCAGGAGATGTCAGGTGTTCATTAGAAAGGTATAAAAACTACTGTGTTCTCTCAATACAGAAGAGTGAAAGCAGCTTGTATGTCTCTTGAAGTGACAATTGAGAACAGATTTTGATTGTCTTTTTGCATGAAAGGGGAACGTAGCAGAATATAAGTGGATACAAAGTCCAGTAAGTACTGCAGGTCCATCAGCTGCTGCTGCTTTGTAAAACAGGAAGAGAACAGTGAAAGTGAGGCACTAAGTTGACTTAGCAATTCAGAAGATAAGCTAGTTGTAAGGTGGTCTTCGTACAAACAAAGCTGGTTGTGCTTACTTTGGAAATGAAACTTTTGTTAGGTAAAAATTTTGTCTGATATACTTTTGACTTTTTTGCAGAGTTAAGTCTTTTTTTCTCTATTTAATGACTGAGATGTTGAGAAATATTCTAATTACATTATTCATGTATGTATGTAAATTAAAGAATACTTACCCATGATAAATTTGAATATGAATTTGAATATGAAAGGGTTATGAAAATTGGTTTCCATAGTCAGTTTTAACTTCAGTGTGCATGTTATGTATTAAAGGGAGAAGGCATTTTTTAAACTGTTTTATCATAGCCTTTTCAGCACTGCTTTTATATGGAAGATCTTATTTGGCATGCCAGACTTTCAGGACGTTAAATGCTATTAAAAAAAAAAAAAGGTGCTTTTTTAAGTCTTAAAAAGCCATTTCAAAAGTTTCAGTTGAAAGAAATGAACTGAGGCTTGAAATCAGGCTTGACTATTAAAGTTGCCATTTGGAATATCTTGTTCACTAGTGCAGTAGATGTTGTTCTTTGTTTAGTGAGCCTTTTATTTCTAAAGCTATTCCTAAAGACCATTGTATCAAAAATAATAGCTTTGTTCACTAAATTATAAAATATTTGAAGCAATAACTATCAAATTTGCAATTGGGAGAAGTTCCATAACGGGGTCTTAAAAGCATCACCATGATGCAGTTAATAACAACTGAGCTTGTGGATGCAACTTCTTTCCTATTTCAACCGTAATTTTCTCATTATGTTTGTATTATGTCTGTGTTGAACCTTCATCTTTTAAGAGACTGCAACTCATGGGCTGTTGTTTCTTTTCCCAGGTTGTTTCTCCCAGTAAGCGACAGTGAGAATGAATGGACACATATCAAACACCCCTCCTGGTGGATATGGAAGTTATTTTCCCCAAATGAAGTAAGGTTATGCCTTTGATTTTCCTATTATGGACATACACAAAAAAAAAAAGATGTATTTTCTTCTTTAGGCTTTCATTTCAGATAGAGCTATAACTATTGGAATTATACAAAGTTTCTGTAAAAGAGTGTGCAACTTCCAAACTGTGGAACCAAACTGATAGATATCATCTGACTGATTTTTGTATTAATGTAAGGATAAAGCTGTATTACTGAATAGACTCATCTGGAACAGAAAAACAAATTGCTGTAGCCATAACATACTTATTGTTTCACTTAGAGAGGTCTTTGTATGCCTGAGATCTTTAAGGGTTAGCTCTCAGTGAATGCATTTTTATGCATAAAAGATGAGGCTGCCTTTTCCATCTGTGAGAACATACTGTTTCCCAGTAAACAGAACCGAGCAATTGTTACCTGCAAGTGTTACCTTGCCTAAGATAAGAGGATGATCCCTGTATCAGGGGCATGGCTCTAGGCTAATGAGAATTTACCTGGCTGATGCCAAAGAACTGTATTCCTATATGGAACATGACATCTCTGCTGGTCTTTGCATTTCATGTTGTTGTCCCTTTAAGGTGAGCTCGTATGTGACTCATTCTTGTTGTTACACTAGAAGGAAGTCATCTTGCCTTTTCATTTGTTGTAGACAATTATAGTTATTTTAAGTCTTACATTAAAAACAGTTAAAATTGCTAAAAACAATCAACACTTGTGTATGCAGGAAAAAATCCCCAAATCCTACCCAAGTCTTTGGCATAGTCATTATTATTATTATCATTATTATTGTTGTTAATGTTATTATTATAATTATTTAGTGATTTTGGTTACTTACATTATGGTGTGTACCACACCCTGATTGTGCATTGTTGTTGTATTAATGCAGTAAAAAAAAGAGGTCAGAAAAGCTTGTAGCTTAAGTGAAACATTCTTCATTGTATTCATAGTACAGAACAAATATCCACTACCTCTGTTACTAATATTGGAGGTATGTGTAGTCCTACGTAAGGAGAGAGTTTTTTCCAGTGCCAAATACCTCTATACAGAATTTAATCAGAAATGTTTTCTTTCAGTGGCTATGGCTCCCCAACATTTGCTCAGGCAGAGAGGGAGCAGAACTCGAGAACAAGTGCAAAAGCTCTTTATGGTAAGACAGCAAAATTCTTTGCACTTCTATGCTAAATTGTTACTTGAATATTGATTGTGATGTCATGGTGGAAATATTTTACATTAATCTGAGAGTCTATGTACATACACATAGGTGTCAATGTCAACTGAATTAGAAAAGAAAGTGATTTTATACCTAATAAAATGAACTAAGTTAACTAGAAAATAGTTTTACAGTTTACTAAGCAGAGAACTCCCCCCTGCTCATTTTGAAGGCAGCAATGTATAAAACATTTATCACAAAACTGAGAGTGATTCTATAGCTAAGGTATGTACCAGGGAGAAGGCATTCAGGGACCTAGTTTGTGCTATAGATTTGATTCATGACCTGTGCCACCCCCTGCCTCCCCCAACTTTATCCCCTGCTAGCAGAAAAGCGATTTACAGTGTTATTCTTCTTTGACACAAGGATTTAATGGAAATTAGATTTGATGTAGCAGATTTGAAGTCCTGTTTGGTGTGCTATTTTCAAGTGGCTTTGTGATTGTCAGATGTGACGTTACAAATCCGTAAACGCTGTTGCACTTACCAACTACAAATGCTGGTATTTGTCTTGGCTGTATACACTACTCTGTAGCCTAATGCCAAATCAGTGTGGAGGCAGAATGTAGTCATGTTCCTTGCCAACCAAATTGCACCATTTTCAGATCATCCTCCTCCGCTGTGAATACATCCTGCTGGTAACTGTGCTGGTAGTGGAAATAGAAGCAGCAATGAGGCTGTGAGATGTTCTGCTGTGTAAATCTGTGCCTGTTGTTAAATGCTCTTTTGAAAGTCAGTGCAACTGATGAGACTGGAAGTAGGAGGTTTGTAGTAAGAAACCGGTCCTGTGCAGGACTCCTCACACCTCAGGCTGCTCTGCCCTCTTGCATCTACCATCTCTTCTGCAGGTTAAACTGGGAAGCTCAAAGAGCAGTGGCTAATAACTGCAATATGCCAAATAGTAACTGATCTTTTCTCCCTCCTGTTTTGGGTGGGGTGGTGGCTGGGAGTGGCCTCAGAGGTTAAGGCAGGGATGGTAACATGATTTAAAATCTTAGAATTGTTTAGATTGGAGAAGACCTTGAAGGTCATTGAGTCCAACCATTACCCCAGTACTACCAAGTCCTCCATTGAACCGTGTCCCTAAGCGCCACATGAACTTGTCTTCTAACACTCCAGGAGTGGTGACCCAGCCATTTCCCTGGGCAGTCTGTTCCAGTGCTTGACAACCCTTTTGGTGAAAACATTTTTCCTAAATATCCAATCTAAACATGATATTGCATGTGAACTGTTCTGAGTTTAAATTTACAATTTTCTAGTGGTGTACTACTATGTCAGTCACTTGACATAGTGCTGAAGGCAGGAACTGCAACTGAGGAAAATTCTGAACTGATCACTTTAAACAGTGATTTCTGCATCCTGTATGGGTTCACTCAACAAACTGATTGCAAGTGTTGACAGAAATAGTAGGTGGTAACAGAAACAAGCAAGAGACTTTGCAGAAAACTCTTAGCAGATTCTTTATGAGATGTTATGAGAGTGTTGTGATTTTCATTTTAAGTCATCATCATAATTTTTCAAGAGTATATGTAGCAGTATCAGTAAGTGTCTTAACCATGTCCTTTAATCTTTGTGGGCTTTTAAAATAATATCTCTCTGAGCTTTTTCATATCAGATGTGATGGGATAGTCATATATCAGTAGAAGATGGGGACAAGTGAGTAAATTTGATATATAATGGTAATCGGCCTTTTACTTCCACACTACTTAATTGATTTCAGGTAGTAATTGAAAATGCTTGCCATGTAACTGCTACGTGCTGCCTCCTGTAAAATTAATTGTTGATCTTGGTTCTCTTTTGTTGCTGGTAGATGTATAACAAAACTGTAGCTGCAGTTGCCAGGAACTGAATGAAGTAGAAGACTCAATTACACTGGAGCTCTGAGTGAATACGTATTAGCACAGCTTTTAGAGTACAGTTTGCACATTTTACTGCTTCCGCTCTGTTTTATATATATAAATAATTAGGCTGTCAGTATCACCAAATATATGAACTGGATAGAACAAGGAAAACACCTAAAACCTTTCTTGAATTCAGGGAGATTATATTTTTATCTAATTTTTAGCAACTAAGTTGTTATTCTCCTGCATCCCACATTTGCCTCTTCTTCCTTTGTGGTGTTAAGGCTTTTTGTGCATGCTCTCCTAAGGAGGGTGGAAATCAGTTGAGTGATTCTGGAATTGTTAAAATGTGTTAAAAATGCTTATTATAAAGTATTTTATTTATAATTATTGACTAAAATATTTTACTTTAGAGTCATGAGACTTTCTTTTTATATTTTATGTTATGTACATATATTTTAAATGTATGTATTTTATATGAATACATAAAGCTCATATGTTTAATAGATTCACTTGTAATATATTGGAAAATATAATTTTACTGCAAAATGAAATGGACTAGACTTTTTTGTTTTGATAGAACGTGACAATGTGATGTTAGCAGCAAATTTTGTCCATGACTAACTTCTTTTCTTAAAGACTTTTGAATTTGGACTAAGCTACCTATCCATAGGTATCAACAAATGAGGATGGTACCTTGACTCCTAACTGACCATTAGATCTTGCAGTCAATTTCTTGCAAGCACTGTAAACACTAAATTAAAATTATTATTATTACTTCTACTTATTACTATTCTACTACTACTTTATTATTACTATTACTATTATTATTATTATTATTCGTGGGTATGTGTGTATATATATATATATATACACACAGGTATGTTTGTGTCCTGAAGTTTGTCTCTTAACTTTCAGTGCTGAGGTGATTCATGATTGTTTAGTCTTCAGACGGGAGCTTGGCCACAGTGGTATTGCAAAGGAGGCTGGGATTTTATTGATGTTACTCACAGTTCAGTTAAAAACTAGACCAGAGCCATCACTATCTCTGATGGGGCTATCTGATAGCAAAAACTTCCTTGCAGTTGCCTTTTTTCCTGTGTCAAATGATCCCTTTGTTTTCACTTACTTCCTTCCTGAAATGAACTGTTTTCTATTTGCACAATAAATCTCCCTCTGAGCTGGGAGGGAAGGTGTCCCCTGCACATTCTTATGGGGCTTATTTCATCATTTACTTCCTGATATTTCCATCTGAAATGGGTTTTGGCTTATACTGTCATCTGTTATTCTAGCATTGGCTTCTCCATCTCTCTTCAGCAGCTCTGCTTTGTGGGGAGACATTGCAGTGTCATTTCAGGACTGTGCTGGGGGTTTGCCAGCGAGTGACACAGTGTGAAGCAGCCTCACTCCCCAGAAGGAGCGAGCTAGTGGCTCTCACTCCAAATTGTTGGATTATTTTACAACACAGAATTGAAAGATGCTGCTAAAATTGTCTTCACATGGCATCAGAAAAGACTGTTTTATACACTGTGTTTATATTCTCGTAGCTGTGATTAGGTGCTAGAAGTGAAATTGCCTGTTATTTTTGCATTGTTCAAATACCTCATTCAGAGCAAGAACTGTAGTGTAACAAATTCAAGGGAATCACAAGCAGAACATAGACAAGGTAAACGAGTCCATTGAAAGAAACTATCCAGGTAACATGCTTGTACTGTTTGATAATCAAATGAGTTAAATTGCCAAACAACACACTTTCTTTGACAGCTGGTTCTACACAACCATCATGTTACAAATCTCTGAAAGTGATAGTGTTTGCTCCTCTGAAAAGGAGATTTGTTTTGAACTCAAGTTTTGACCTTTCTGCCCATATGTTCAAGTCACGTCTCCTGCACTTTGCCCTGTCTCGCGCTGAGTTTTTCCAGCTGCTACAGGAAAGGGCTGTCAGCAATCAATCCAGTCCAGATACACGGTAGTAAACTAAGTATTGGGCTTTTCTGCTTGAAGGTGTGTTGTAATAATTTATACTGTTACTTCTGGATTCTTAGGACAGCTAAGTGAGGGAGAGTGATTCGATGCCCATGTGGATTGCCATCACAGAGCTGTGTCTCTTTGTACAGTTTGGCTATGGAAGGGGAAGATATGGAAGGGTAAAGGGAAGGGTGAAGGTCTACCTTTACCGTTCTTTGTATTATCACAACTATAACATTGATAACCTTTATTACATCTGATCTGTGCAAATATTTGTAAGACATTGGTGGAAGTCTAGGCATCAATATTCCTCACTTGTCTTTTAGGAACTGAAAATTTATTGTGCCTAAATATAGCCCTACCCAGCACTACCTGTGCTTCAGGTCATGTTAAGACACAACCTGAGATCTTTTGCTTCTAGTAAGAATTTTCCCTACCTAGATAAAGACTTTGATTTTTCTTGTTGTGGTCTTCTGGACAGTGGCACAGAGCCAGGCTATGGTAGAGTTTATTGAGCAACTTCGAAATTTGCCATATTACTGCACCCCCTTCCAGTTGGAGAATGGGTGAGACAGGACTCAATGGACCCTAGGCAGTACTGTTATTTTTGTCTGAAATTGTGGAATAGTTGTCTTTCCAAAGTGTGAAATGGTCCTTCACAGAAATAACTGTGAGAGCTCAAGAGTTCTTGGTATAGTGGGGATAAGGACTGAAATGAGTGATGGCAATCTTCAATCCTATTTATCTGTGTCATGTTCTGTCTAGTAATATTTTTGACTTGGCTAAGAGTCTTTGGTTAAGAAGTTGCATTTTGCTTTCTGGTGTTTTAGATACTTTCAAAAATGGTATAAAATCAGTGCCTTTTAACATGTTTTTGAAAACAGAAACATGGTCTGTTGCTGATGACTGGTGAATTCAGTAACTTCACAGAACATGACTAGTAGTAACATCTGTCCCCATCAAACAGTGGGAAAAGTACTAGTTTCTGTGGATCAATGTTTCTGTTCCTTTGGAAGCTTTATTAGCTGGTAGATCTTATATTCATGACCTATGTGCTGCTTTTAAGTTTACTGTCGTTGTGTTTTGAGAGATTTTATTTTATTCAAATTCCCCTGGGTTGCATTTGCTATAGATTGTGATTAGGAATTTAAGTATCTTCTGCCATGATTCATTGATTTTTATTTTTTTTCTTTTACCAGAGGGAAAATCCTTTAGGTAAATGGTGTACAACATATCAGCAGAGTTTGAGCTAACTGTGGTATTGAGGTTGCCCTGTATTCTAAGTAGTGGATGTAAGAGCTGCAGTAAGTAGAGTATATAGAACAAAACTCAATAGTTTTGGTAGTTTTATTCATCCTTTGATAGTTTCATACATCATATCTAGAAGTCTCTGTTGTATTTCACTTTAGCTTTAATAGCCTCTTCACGCATGAAGGGACCTGTGAGAGGCTGAGATTGATTGGGAGGATCAGAAGAGTGAAACAGAACATACAAATCATTAATTTGCTCTTAGTGTCAGGGGCTGACTCCAGCCAGCAATTGAGGATCTACCCATTTGCTTGCTCATTCCCCCTGTCTCCACCCATAAACAGACCAATGCCCAGACTGTCTGGGCAAGAACTTTTTGGAAAGACTACCTACCAGTTTTATTGCTGATCATGACACTGTACAATGTGGTCAGATGGGATCAGCTGTCCCAGGTGTGTCCCCTCCCAACCTCTTGTGCACCCCCAGCCCACTCACCGGGGCAGCAGAGTGAGAAATAGAGGAGGCCTTGACACTGTTCAGCAGCAGATAACATCCTTATGTTATCAAGACTGTTTTGGTCACAAATCCAAAATTAACTCCATCCTAGCAAGACCCAGTGCCTTCAGTGCATCTGCAATTTCTGTTGCTCATTTTCAATATTAAAGTATGTGTTACTTGCATTTGAAGATAATGTAATAAGTCAGGAGATGTTTCAGGGTTTCTTTAAAAGTAGTCTGATTATTACTGATAGATAATAATCCATCACTTTGATATGTGAAAGAGTTGAGAGACAGAAGCTCCATTTTCAGAAGAAGGGCAATTGGCAACTCTGTAGGAAAAGAAGTTGTATATGGATGAAAAAGACTGTGAGGGTCATGTGCTCAGATATATCTATGACTTGGAAGTTGAAACACAGAAGTGTTGTAGGAAGGAGCAGAGAGTCCCTTATGTCATCTAGAGATGAGGACAGAGAACAGGTTTGCAGGCTTATATCAATTTTCCTAGAAGTCCAGGGCAGTGGAGCACATCAGCAGGAGGGGGTGCAAAAGGGTTTGTGTCCTTTCTGATGGCAAGATGAAAACTTATGGAGGGTTTAGGTAGAATCTGGGACAGGAGCCAGGCATTAGGAGAAAGTGGAGTTTGAGATTTAATTTTGAGCTACCAGCAAAAAACCACGGGAGAGGGGACGCATTCTAGATGCCGGTCTTTTCTTATTTCCTTTTCTTTTTTACCTCATCCAACAATCATAGTATATCCTGAGTTGGAAGGAACCCACCAGGACCATTGAGTCCAACTCCTGGCCCTGCACAGGGGATACTCCAATAGTCACACTCACGCCATGTGCCTGAGAGTGTGATCCAAACACTTCTTGAACTCTGTCAGGCTTAGTTTTGTGACCTTCCCTGGGGAGCCTGTTCCAGTGCCCAACAGTGTTTTTTTGTTAGAAGGGCCTAGAGGATAACAAGAAATGGTGGTTGATGCCCCAAGCTTGTCAGTGTTTAACAGGCATTTGGACAATGCCCTTAATAACATGCTGTGGCTTTTGGCCAGCCCTGAAGTGGTGAGGCAGTTGGACTGGATGATTCAACTAAAATATTCTGTTCTACCCTAAATGATAACTCAGGTCTCTAGCAGGTTCTCATACTTATTCTACCTGCATGAAAGAAATAAATTGGTAAATTGGAGTTGATCTCAGTATGGACTGTCAGTTGTTGTATCCATGCTTGTTGTTTATTAACACAAACACTGATTGACTTCTGTTAATTGGAAATCTTATTGAAGTTCTTGTGACCATTATGTTATAATTAATAATGCAGAACTTGAGGGGCTGTCCTTGGCTCTCAAGTGTAGGCAACCACAGATTTTATTAACATTCAGAAAACTCTCCCTCTTCTATAAACACTCTTGTTTCTCACCATGGCATAGTGGTTTGAAAACCTTTCTATCAGGTGGAATTGTGCTGCTCTGTGTAAGAAGATGTGTTAATCAGTATTACAAATGGTTTTGGAATTCCTGTCTTATTGCAGGACAAAATTTATGTGAAGCAAATAAGGAATCTCTTGCAACACTTACTCTCTGCTTTTTAATTCCTTTGGAGCCTCTACATATATCAGACTTTCTTTATTTAAAGTAACTCCAGCTATTATTGTTTGCAGCATTTGTGAATCTTACAATGGATGTAAACTTTCTTACTGTTGTTTAATAGAATAAAAGTTATATTTTTTTTCACCTGAAAGAAGATAATAACAGTCAAAACTGAATATTTGATGCAATGTTAATTGAAACAAGGGTCCTTTTTTTAGAAAGCATATATTCATACTGGACAGCATTTAACTAGAATTTACAGTCCATAGCAGAAGACTGTTAACTGATCCCCTTAAAGATGTAAATAATTCTATGGGATTAAACTAGATACTGCTTTTTAATCCCCTTGTTTTGTTAGGAACAGATGGACTTTACTTCTTCAGATCATCATCCAAACAAAAAAAGAAAGGTAGCAAATCAGACAGTACTGCTTTACTGACTGGTGTGCATGTGTGTGTGTGTGTCTGTTGTGGTTAAAAAGACCATCAACTAAAAAAAAATTAACTAACATGCTGCAAAAGCAGAAATAGTAGTTACAGATGGAATCAATGATGATACTCTGCCTTGGGATTTCAGAATAATGGATAGTGAAAGTAAGATACCTGTTTTGAAACATCCACACATCTAACTGAAAATTCTGATAATCTGTGTTCTTGAATTTGAGTGTTTGCACTGCACACTTCTCTTGATAAAAGAAGCTGAATAGCTACTGTACAGGAGCAGAATGGCTCTGTTGCATGAGTGGTGCTTTTCACCATGGGAGAGGGTCTTCAAGTCAGTGATGTATTTCAGAAGTTTGTTTTCCTCGAGAAGGGGAGAGATAAGGGTATGTTTATAAAAGGTGACAAATACTTCTACAAGTGATGTCTGAAAACAAGGCACTGCTGTCTTTGTCAGAACCTGGAGTTCCTGTATGAAGGAACCCTGGTCACAGAAGAGACTTTTGCAGTGTGACTTTTATGGTGTCCTCACTGCAGATCTCTGTATGTCATAGATCATGCACTTGGTAATATTTAGCATTTTTTTTTCTTTTGCAAAAAGTAACTTAAGGTTCCTGTCAACAAAATCACACACTTTCATTTTACCTCCAAGTACTCCAGGTATGATTAAATTGATGTATTTTGTATGTAGATCAGGTACTTTGCTTCTGAACAGAATCAAACTGCCTATTTTAATTGAAAATCAGAAATCAAAGAAATGCCTACTTGCAGAGTTTCCATAGACCTCTCTTGGCCATGTTAGGTACTGACTTTCCCAAAAAAAAGCTCCTGGTGTTCCAGATCAGGCACTTAAATGGTTGTAGTGGAAAAAACCTCAAGCCTTCCAAATGTTGCATTCATTTTTTTTTCCACTTAATTTGAGAAGTTTTCTTCAGCATTCATCTAAATTTATTATTTTGTGTTATGGGTCCGTGTTGTGCCTTCATTTTGCTTTTCCCCTCCCCTCCTCTCCTGGTTTAATATTAACCTATTGTATTGAGTAAAAGGCAAATGATATTTCTGATTTTGCAGCATTGTGTCTTGCTGATAAGTATTTCTGTTTAGAGATATTTTGGTGTGTATATGTATATTTCCATGCATATTTCTACATTATTAATTCATCGAATTGAATACTTTATGAAGAAATAAAGGATGAGTCAGGTTGGTTTTGTGTGTGACTTTGTTGTTTTGCAGATTTAACATAAGTATACGTATAGATCAGAAAATACTTTTGCTTTCAAGGACACTCATACAAATATAGTAAGCCTGATGTTAGTTATCATATTGCTACTAAAATGGCAAACCAATGATTTTCATAATCAGGTTTCCCAACAAAGTGTTTTCAGTCAGAACGCTGCTCCCCTCCAGTGTCCTGACTCACTGGGATGAGATAACTGGCTTTTGTTTGCACCCACCAGCTTTCTGTTAACATTGTTGATGTAAGAATGGTCCTTGTGCTGGACTGTGTGGGGGTGGAGGTATTTTCTGTTGAAATACAGAAAGTAACCACAGCTTATCTCCTGTTCTCATATACACAGCTTGTCTAAAGTATCTCTGAGAAATAGTCAAAACATCAGGATAAGAAATTAAATGAATAACTATTCTTTCTTTTCCTCCCATCTCTAGAACAAAGAAAGAGTTATGCACGGGACAGTGCCAGCAGCATATCCGAAACATCACAGTATCACGTAGAGGTGAGATGAGGAGTGATATACCAATTACAGCTTTCAGTTATGTGCAGCTTTTTTTGCCTACATGATTTTTGAGGATACATGTACTTGAAGGCACATACATCTTCCAAAATATCTTGCCAGCCTGAGGTCACTTCAGAATAGATTACAGTGAAATGTCTCAAATTCTATAGCTTTACCATAATAAGCTGAAATGTTAGATACAGAAGAATGTAAGCAAAGTTGTGTGTAGTTTGGCAAAGGGACAGGACTTCTCAATGGGGTATCAATTCAACGTGTTATGCTGCCCTGTCTCTAAACCTGGCTTGTTACAAAGATGAGGCAGAGCTGAATAATGCTGTGCTGTTGGCAAGGCACACTGGATGATATTTAAAACTAATACTTTGATTAGATATAATCAGCAGAGGTATTAGAATATTCTTAAAGAGCGGAGCATTAACCCCTAAAAGCCCCAGTTAGTCTGATATATAGTAGTTAAATATTCTGCCTGCACAGATTCTTCCCCAGTATTAAGTGCAAAGTATGTACTTGCTGTCTTTACGCTGCTTTGCAGAATTATTGCACTCTGCTGTCATATTTTATCGAGGAATAGGTATATTTGAAATATTCTGCGAAAGTAAACCTGAGTGCCTATATGTAGCCTGTTAAGCACTTTTGAATGCAGCGCCTCATTTTGTAGTCTTACTTTGACTCAAACTTTGTCCTACTGCCATCAGGCCAATGTCATGGGTTAAGCCAAGTCTTGTAATTACCATGTATTCTCAACTCCTTTTTGCTGGGTTTTAAATCAGCTGTAAATTGTGAGATCGTATGCAGAAGAGTCTTTAATTTCAAGTGCTTCAATCCTATGATCAGCTTGCAAATGATTCTGTGTGTTGCTTCTTATTGCCTATTTTTTTTTTGGTTTCTTTATAAGAGCTTTGGTCCTGTACTGGTATAACAATTAGTACTTGCATCTGGAGTCTAAGCATTCCTGTGTGAGCAGCCAGTAGAGAGTTTGTTTCACTTCATTTCTTTTAAATACTCTGATTATGTGCAGTTTACACCTACCTTCTTCTCTCTAATTACTAAGTGCCATTATCCTGTAATAGAAGAAAGCACAGTTGATTTTATTTATTTATTTTTCAAACTTATTTAGAGAACAGATGTGCAGGCATATATTAAACTTAGTTCAGCTTGAATGAGTGTTATCAGATCTTCAATAAGAATGTGAAGCTGGATTTATGCTTGAATAAAATTAAACAATTTTGTGGGGTTTCTTGCATGGCTGGCATGTTGAAGGAGAAATTACCACCACCATAATGACAGGGAAGCTAACTGAGGTGATGTTTGGGAAGTAGTGTTTAGTTTCTAGACCATTAATTGAATCTGGAGAATATTCCAAGTTGATGGTGAACAAAAGTAGTTGCTATACTACATTTCTACTGTGTTCCACAACAACATGACTGTCCATAAGGTACCCCAGCTAGATGCAAGCCCATCCTGGTTGCCATCAGCACACTAGCTGGCAGCCCTGGAAGAGGTGAGGACACTCCAGGCCAAGGTGGTGGTGGAGGTACATTGTCAGTGTGTTTCTGGGAAGCTTCTGCTGGCACCGCCTGAATTCAGCTTGCCAAGAGAGACAGGTTTTCACTCCTCAAGAAAGCTAATTAAAAATCACGGTTTAATTCTAGCTTTGATACCTGAAAGATGTCAGAATATGCCTTCAGGTCTAACCGCTTACCCTAGTGAGGAAATGACAGAGGATGACAAACAGAGCTACAAAATCAGTTGACTTAAAATGGCATTACGGACTAAACAACCTTTCTTATGTCTTATAGGTGGAATCTGTCATATACAAAGGCACTTTTATTCATGAATAATTTGCATTGCTCTTTCCTGGCAATTTGAATACTGACACTCCTGAACAATAGGGAAAATTGCAATCATAATTTCTTTTAAATGTATGTTTCGTTCACTAGCACTTGACCACGTTTGTTCTGGACCGAAAAGAGGCAATGATTACAGTAGATGATGGAATAAGAAAGCTGAAATTGTTGGACGCCAAAGGCAAAGTGTGGACTCAAGATATGATTCTTCAAGTGGATGACAAAGCTGTCAGTTTGGTGGACTTGGAATCAAAGGTAAGATCTGTGAGTGACAGTCTCATTTTCAGAGAGAAAGAAAAAGGGAGCAGCAGAAAAATGATGTATGTGGGATTGAGGACTTTAATTAGCTTATTATCACTTCTCCTTTTTAACTCATGCAGCTTTTCTGAGATCAGGACACTGTATAGTAAAGTGCTGTTTTGTATTTGCTATTTTTTTTTTCTTTTCTGGCAGAATGAACTGGAGAATTTTCCTTTAAGCACAATTCAGCATTGCCAAGCTGTGATGAATGCATGCAATTACAATTCAATTCTTGCATTAGTATGTAAAGAACCAACCCAAAACAAACCTGATTTGCATCTTTTCCAATGTGATGAAATTAAGGTAAGACAGTAATGGAGATCTACTATGACTTACTTGAATAGGGGAGATTTTATGAATTGACAAGTACAATGGATAAAGTTAAATGAGCTGATTCATGGAAAACAATTCTGTACTTTTATTCGTTTAAAATACCATAAGTTTAATGCACTTATCAACAGTATTTACAGCATATTAGTAAATGTAGTGTAGTACGTATTGCAAGAGAGTGATCTAGTTTGTAGGCTGAATCCTTAGTACATGTTCAAATACATCCTTACTGTAAATACTGATTCTTGGGCTCCATAGCTGTTAATTTAGGTTTGCAAATGTGTAAAGCTCTGAAAAATGTCTATGGTTTGCATTCACACTTCTGAAAAGAGCAGTGTAAAATAGTTTGAGTTATCTCAAATTTATCTTATAATCTGCAATGAACTCATATGAGCCCTGAGTCTCACCTAGTTTTTCCCCCTTTTTTTTCCTCTTTTTGTTACTGAACTATTAAATGTTCTCTATATTCTCACCTCTCTTCATCTCTGCTCCACTGGAAAGATTGTGAAAGGCAAAATATTACTTGCAGGAGGGCAAAACAAGGAAAGAGATTTGATTGTCTCTGATTAAAATATTTTCTTCAAGTGTAAATAATTTTTTTAACATATTCTGCAATGCTTCTTTATTTTCAGGATTATAAATTTTAATTTCTTAATGAGTTATTCTGTGTAATAGGCATTTCTTTAAATTCAAATGGATAATTTCATGCGTTTTTCTTAATTCCTTTGTAGTAGTTTGTATCATTGTCATGAAACAACAGATTGCTAAATCACACTGTGCAACTGTTTTGAAATTGGTATAATGAGGGTGGTGTGAAGATGACTGGCTAATTGTGTGATTTGTTGCATAGAATTTGCTGTTTCAGTGGAAAGTGGGATCCTGTCAGAAGTTCAGGTGGCATTATGTTAAATAGTGCAGGGATCCCTTTTAGGGTCTGTTTGGACTCAGTTTCCCAGAATGTAGAGGTGGTCTCTTTTTAAAAATAAAAATATAGAGTATGTAAGCATGACTTGGAAGTCCAGGATCTCCCTTTTTTTCTGAGGTATTGATTGAGTCTCTGACCATACCCTGGGTTTTTTTTCCTTAGCCATGAAACTTGTCTGGTTTTAAAAGTTTAGGTCTTTCTCCATTGGCTTTACCTGCTTTTGATTAGAAGTTACCATGAACTGCAGGAGCTACTGCAACAAAAATTAGTTAAAATCAATACTATTTGGGGCATTCAATATTTTCTAAACAAGAAAAATTTTAAATAATAAATATCTAAGAGTACTGGATTAATGGAATTCTTCTGGGTTTAAGTTCCTCTGATCCCCTAAAATTTTTTCTATTAATTCTGTAATCTTAAGGTATCCCTTATAAATATTCTGTAGTGCAATTCATTATAGCCTGAGAAGTCTTTTAATCCCTTTGGATCCTAAATTTAACAATGTCTTCTGGTCCTAGCAGAAGTTACAATTACATATTCCTTCCAAAATGTTGCATAATCTTATGCATTATTGGAGTACTAAGAAAGACACAGTCCTTGTAGAGTGAGCCAGACACTGACAGATTTGGGCTTTGACAGCCTTTGTAGGAAATTAATTTGTCAGCTGAAGACATGTAACAGAGCATTCTAAATCCTACGAGAAGCCATGACCTATTTAATGCAAGATCTATTAAAATAATGCTTTAGACATGCATCAAAATTACACTGGTAGGCCACTGGTGGAGGCATTCTGCAGTTTTGGAGGGGCGGGAATCCACAAATTAGGGAATGTTCTGAAAAATTAGTCTTCTGTTACATCAAAGAGAAATTGGAACCTATCATTATTTCTGACAGGAAATTGTATAACGAGTTACTTTTCTAATTATGTTGCAACTATCTATAGTAGTTTTGTTGCTTCTATATATAGTAGATTCTGGGTTTTTAAAGTATAAACAAAGTACTTGAGACAACCAAAAATTATATATGCAGAGGGAAAAAGCAGCTTATGCAATAATGGTTGACATTAGATAATTACAGATGTTCAGACAAATTTGGTATCTATATTATGTACTTGTCTAATGATCATGCTTGAGATTGGAGTAGTGACAAAAATACCAACTCCCAGGCTTTATTCTGTTGTTTGTTCTGCTTATATGTAAAATAATTTGCCCCAGAACTTTTAAATAAATGTGATTTGATATGGTATTCTTTAATCTAAAGGTGCTATAAAAAAAGTGCATGAAGAAATATTTATTTCCTATATCTGGATACTCTAGACGATACCTGATGGTTTCTGCTTCTGTCTCTTTAGGCTAGCTTTATTCACGAAGATATTGAAAGTGCAATCAGTGACAGCAAAAGTGGGAAACAAAAGAAGAGGCTTGAAACACTGAGGTAAAAACCTAACTTCTTGACAGTGTACAGAACCAAATAGTGTGACACCATTCAGAAGCTCTCCAGGTTTGCCCACTGTATTTTGGGTTTTTATTGCTTTGGTTTGGGTTTTTTTAGACTTAATAATATCATCCCAAAGCCCTATGTAGAGGTCTTGTTTTAATAATTTTCTCATGTTCTCTCAGTTTATAGTGTCACAATTTATAGTGTCACTCTTACCTTTCCCAATTCCACCTTAGTGATGGGAACAGCTGAGATCAATACCACTTACCAGAGGATGGCATTGCATGTCTCAGTTCTGCATAAGGATTAAGTAGTTCAGAATTTAAATTAAAAACATAAATGCCCCATAACTCCAAGTAAGTAAGATTATGCTAAAAGGTTTCGGGATCTGAAAATGTTCAAGCAACAGTTGAAGACTGAATAATTTTCCTGCCTGCCTGTTTAATGATGCTGAAAGACTTCTTGTTTCCCTGGTAGCAAAAGCTTCTTTGCCAGTTGGAAAATGTGAGGGAAAGAATCTGTTGGGTTTGGAGAAGATTAATACAGAAATGAGAGGTAGCAAACAGAGGCATAAAAACAAGGACACAAATAAATTAGATACTTAATAGTGATGGTAGTAGTTGGAATGTTAGTATATAGCTGCATCCTGATAGTATTTCTTGATACTATTTACATTTTTTTCAGGTAGAGAAGTCTCTGCTGGACAAAAATCATTAAGTAAAATTGACACCAGTATGTGAATGAGTTTATAACAGTTTTGGCTATCTGCTAAATTCTGATGTGCAACTTACGAAATTTTCCTGAGTAAGGGACACTCCTATAAAAATAAAGCAAAAACTGAACTGTGTCTAGCTTTATTTGCATTTTTAAAATCAGATAAGTAGACTTTACTCTTTGTGGGACCATAGGGATTCAAACACACTGGATGTGCTGGGAAACTAATGAGATTTAATTGGGAAAAGAATGTAGGTCAGTACATCTGTTTGGGACAAATAATCCGAGGTATCAGTCTCTGAGGGCTGTGAGGCCAGGAGGTCATGTGTATGTGGCAGCTTCGTGCTGGTTACTCCCTGTCATGTCATTTGCCTGCTGGCACTGGGTCACAGAGAGGGACCCTCCTGCCTGACGTGACATTGTCATGTTGCTGCAAGGTTATTGACAAGTGAAAGGGCACTGGAGGAAGGAAAAGCAAAGGAAATACTTTGTTGTTGTTGTTGTTCACTGTTGAAAGACCAAGCAGCATCTGACATTTTATGGTGGCCTTGTTGAATGCCGTGAATGAGATAGGATTATAAAGAGATGAATTCAAGGTGAAGATCTTGCTTTTAAACAGAGGTGTGGGAAAGGGAGAGGGGTGGGAAATCTGTATGACAGGAACTGTTGGAATTTTATTGTCTCTTGGTATCAAGCTGCAGAATGACTTCAAAGACCTCTTTATGGTATTTTAAATGACAGTAAGAACTGGAAAAGTGGAAAATTGCATGTGGGAACATTGATACATTTGTATCAAGACAGGATGAATAGGTCCCTGTTACAAAAATGAAAATCATCCAGTAAAGTGGTTTTTGTTGGTAAAGTTTTCAGAAAAAGGTGGTTGACGACTGCTCAGATTTAGGGACTAAATACTTGTGATGGCTGAAAGGTAACTTCTAATCTTCTAATTTTCTTTCACACAAAAGGCAAGTCCAGACTGTACGATTGTATAGGGAGTAAAAATGCCACCTGCTTAACCCAAGCCACTGAGTTTACCCATGTAAACTGACAGGTCTCATCATGTTCTTTGTCACTGCTTGGGGATGTCTCAGGTGACGGAGGTTTGCTAACCCCATCATGGAGTGGGTTTCCTGCCGTTTTTAGTGCATTTACACATCCTGGTCTTGAGTAGTGCTTACTTGGCAAGTCCACAGCATGGTCTGCAGTAGAAGAAGCCTTGTCTTCTCTGATTAGGCACTAGAGAATAGAACGTTTTTCCTTCAAGTGTCATTTACGGGCTCTCTCCTCTCCCTCCAGAATGATCTCCAAAGCTGACAGTGCCATCCCTCCTCCGCCACGGGCACCGGCCCCAGTGCCCCCGGGGACCATCACGCAGGTGGACGTGAGGAGCCGCGTGGCAGCGTGGTCTGCGTGGGCTGCTGAGCAGGGCGACTGTGAGTATTTCTGGGTGCCAGCTGCCGCATAGAGGGGTGGCAAACAGCTGTTCTGGGCAGTGGATTTTTGTGGTGCTTGGTAAGAATAAAAATAGTTTAGAAAGACCACTTTCATAAAGATTACAGTAGCTGGATACAGAAATGGTTGTCCAAGGTCAGCCCTCTGCCCTCGCTGAGAGCGGATATGATTATTCTCTGAGTCTAGTTTGAAATGCCCCAAGCCACTGTCCTCTGATCTGGGGAATAAGATCTGACTGTCATAATCTGACTTGTCATTTACTTGCACGTATCCATTTTCTGAATTTTTGTTCAGAGCTGCTTTTCCTTGTGCTTAGCTGAGTGGGGGTGTGGGCTACTGATTTTAATCAGGGCTTCTTTATGAACATGGTAGCATGTTCATAGAAAACAGTACTTTCATAACTGTAGTCATCTAATGATGCTCTCTTCAGTAATATGGAGAGCGTAGGCCACATATTTTGGACAATTAAAAACTATAATCAGGGATTCAAAGGTGACTTAAGCATTATTTATTTATGGTACATTTATTTTGATTACATATCAGTCTATATGGCTAAACTGGTTCTTTTTATTTTTTAAGCTATCTTTTAAAGCTGTACCCAAGAAATGCTATAGCATTCCCAATTGGTTTGGATTGGTTTTGTTTGGTGCTTGCTGGTGGGTTTTTTACATCTCTAAGGGAAACATATTTTGATCAGATTTCTTTAATAAAGTTCTTCAGAAAGAATAAAGTTTGTTCTATAAAACAGACTGATAAGGTTAAGATGAGGTCCCATATGGTTTGTTTGTTTGGGTTCTTTTAATAATAGATACTAAAACTGTAGAATTAGAAGATCTTGAAGTCTTTATTATTTTTGGTTTATTAAATAATATCTGTATTAATTAACAAAGTTCACAACTATGCAAAGAAAACAGCTGAAAATGTTCAGAGCAAACTGAAGTGTTAAGAATTATTTAATCTATGTATCTGCAGAATTAAATCTATCTTGAATAATGGCTAACCTGTTCTTCTGCTTGACTTTTCACCTCAGAAAAGTTTCATTAGTTTGTCTAGTGTCATGCCAGACCAGTTGTGGATCTGAGTTCCTGCAGATCCTTTTATTCTGCTCATGCAGATCTTTTCTAAAATGTATTTACTGAAATCCCACCTTTCACAAAACATGGTGCAGTACTTAGTGTAACTTAAAAACACGAAACTTACAATTTCTCAAAATGTTGACTCTTGTTGTTTTCAAACAAAAGTCGCTGACTCTGTTTGTTGTTATTTGTAAGTACTGGTTCTATCACATCATAAACTCCCATTTTGATGTTGCCAGAACTGGCATTCCTTTTTGCTAATTGCCTTTTACATCAAATTTGTCTTCAAAGTCATGGCTACACTCTTTCTTGCTTAATTCTGCTGGAGAAGCTTTCAGCATATTTTGCAAAATAATAATAATAATGGCCAGTCTTCGCAAGCAAAGATCCGGGGAAGGTCTTTACACCTTCCAGCCTGCGCATTGGATTTTTTAGGTGAGACACAGTGTGCGCGGAACTGAGCCCACCCTTTAATCCTAAGGTTCATCTGCCGGGGCCAAGCGAGCTTGGACGGTGGCAGTGAGGTCCTTAGGACGTAGGTGGGTTGCCTTTTTAAGGGCTAACGAGCTCCATCAGCCCGGGAGTGGCCCTGACTGGGAATCGAACCCGGGTCTCGACGGTGACAGTGCTGCGCCCTTAACCACTAGACCACCAGGGGTTCCTTTGCAAAATAGGGTGATTCCCTATTGTGCTGAAATTTTTTGGTTTTCAACTTCTGTGGTAAACTTCATTTATGCAGTTAAATTGACTAAAGCACAGACTTAGCTTCTTTGTGAGACTTATCAGGATCAGGCATTAGGGTACAGGATTTTCACGTTATGTGGAGTCCTTGCAAAGTGAATGATACAAACAGTTTTGTCCATCTTTTTCTTACAGTTCTATGGTTTAAAGCATAAGCTATATATAAAGTGTTATGTACTTATATAGTAGTTCCACATATATGGTTGTCTTGTCCTCTTCTTCCCTTTTTTGCAGTTGAAAAACACAGACAATACCATGAACATGAAGAAACAGCAGAGATGATGGCAGCCAGGATTGACAGAGATGTTGTAAGTGAGAAACTACAAACGATGTTGCTTAATGTCTGTTAAATTTTGCAACTCTACTTTGTGAGAAGACTTTTCCCACATAGTAAATTCAGTTCTGAAGAAAAACTTTCCAGGCAGCCTCTGCTTGTGTGGTAGATCTAGAAATGAATAGGTGGTAGTTCCTTTTTTTAATTTTGTTCTTTAAACAGAAAAAGAGGTGGGGGAATGCCAACACATTGAATGTGATATAAGCTTTTCTACTGTAAAAAGCTAGAAATACAAATTGTGATTTTGTGCAGTAGACCAGTTTGAGCAAACTATATAAGGAGTAAAAAAATTCCATCAGTTTAGTGGGACTTGAATATGTGTAATATCTGAAGAAAAAACGTGATCACTTCTGAAGACAGGTGGACCATGTTTATTTCTAACCTAAAGTTTTCTTGCCTATAAGCAACAACACTGGGTGTCTGTGAGATCAAATATGGTCCCGTTTGTCAGTTGTAACTTTTCCACTCTCAGCAACATCAGAGGGTCTTGAGAAAAGCATGTTGGGACCTGCTGAATTGGTGTCAATGTGTTTTCCCCAGAGTCTCATTCATTCTCATTCACTTGCTCTTCGAAATCAATTCTTCAAAGAATACTTCTCTATAAATAGCTTAATTTGTAGGGAACTTCACCAAATAACTTAACACTTAGTACTAAAGAAGATTATGAAGTTATATCGTTAAGGAAAATGCTGTCCGTTCAAAAATTAGAATTTTTTCATGTGCTGTGAGAGAGAATGTAATGTGGGAACAAATTGTGTAATTGCAATCTGAACTTAATAATTCTGTTGATCATATTTTAAAAGGGTCCAGTGACAGTAAGTTTTTAAAAAGATAAGATTTTAAAATCTTTACAAATATGTAAAGTTAAGAACACAATGAATCTGAATATGGATTGTTCTAGCATGAAATTTGTTGCAAGGAAGCTGTTGCTGTGTGAGAGATCTGGATGTTTCAATTTCTGGAGTACTTCTGCTATATATTCTGTAGAGAAACTGTTGCATTTCTTCCACAGCAAATTCTGAACCATATTTTGGATGACATAGAGTATTTTGTTACCAAACTTCAAAAAGCTGCTGAAGCATTTGCTGAACTTTCAAAGAGGAAGAAAACTAAGAAAAGTAAAAAGAAAGGACCTGGAGGTAGGAGTCCTCACTGCATGCAATTCAGTTTCTCTAAGGATCACTGAAGGAGCTAGCAAATGTGTCTCTGTGTTGCTTTTTTATCAGTGTGGTAATTTTTTTCACTTTGAGCAAATAAATTCCTATGGAGTGTATTCTTAGAAACCTGTAATAACCATTTGCTTGAAGGCAGCGGGAGGTGACTAAATAGAGATGTGACCACAGAATATGCCCACTGCTCTGGTTCTATATTTAGAAAATTCCGTGAGTTGGTAAATTTATTATGTATGTATATGTTTGCTATATCTGAAATATTGATAGAAGTTATATACGTATAAATGGTACATAAAAATCTCATTTTGTTCACCAGAGGGAGTTCTCACTCTCCGTGCAAAACCACCACCTCCAGATGAATTTGTTGATTGTTTCCAAAAATTCAAGCATGGCTTCAATCTTCTGGTAGGTGACTGACTGCTCATGGATATGTTGGTGTGTGACATGCAGTAAGATCTTTCCTGGGATAACTGATGGCTAAGTGTAACTTGGTTTTTGTTTTCCTTACCACTACAGATTAATTTGGGTGTCAGTTTTGGTACATTTTCTTATGGCTTATTCCACTAGTTTGGAGGGAAGAACTAAAATTATGGTGAAAAATAAAGAGGAGAAGGAAGAATCAATAACATGATGAATTTGCTTTGTAGTTATTTTTAAGTTTTCTTGGAGGTTTCTGCTATTCCAGAGGGTGTGAATGCTTTTTGTTGATGCAGAAGGTTATTTTGTCTTTAAAAGTGCATTAATAAAGTTTTCTACCTAACCTTCCTGTTGTCTTGACCATGTAGAGAAACCTTGTGGGGCCTTCAGTGCCCTGCAGCTGCCAACCGTGCAGAGATGGTCACACCATCCAGGGAATTGTGAGCCTGAGTCTGCACTGTCTTGGTCTCCACAGCTCTTTCAGAAAGAGCAACCCTGCAAGTATTCTCTACAGGAAGGCTGATATACCTGGAAATGTAATCTTGTTTTGTCCTTGGCTGACACAGGAAGATAGCTCAGCTGGTACTTGACTGGTCTTGGACTTTTCTTGACCTTTTCCCTCTCCATCCAAGGACGATATTAGGCAAGACCAGAGCTGGCCACTTCTGGCCTAGGTTGGCCTTTAAGCTTTGGGGTGCTACTCCTCAAGTTCCCTACACAGTGACTAGAGGAGCATATTTCTTTTTCAGCATTGTTGAGTTTCTTCTTTTCCTGGTTCTTTAAAGCATTTTACTTAGGAAATTTGAGTTTGAATCATAAAAGAATTTCTAGGAACATCTGTTGGAATCACAGCTCTGTTGTGTGTTTGCCAGCATCACCAGCTGTGGCCTCAATTTACTTTTATTCAGCTATGCCCATCAAACTCTCTGTGTTTGTTGCCATCATTACCACAGGACCTTCTGGGCTCAGAACGTTCCATCCAACAAATTGCTGTTGCTTTGTAGGGTCTCAGTAAGCAGAGATGCTAATTCAACAGCCTTCCCTGGCATCTCCTCTCAAGTGGGAATCTCCTATTCAAGGGAGGCAGCAAGTGGGACACCTTCAAAGCATTTACTGTCAGATACTGACTGTTTCTTCCAATTGCTGGGGAGACTATGCCAATGGGGAAAACTGTTCTTTATTCACTGTGTCAAACCAGATTTTTTTCTTTCTCCTAGGGAATGAATTCTGATTGCTGGGCTGTAAGAGATATTTAGAAATGTTAAGAATGTCTATTTTTAAAGAAAAAAACCTTTATCAAGTTCTGTGATTCTGACCTTAAAGGGTTGCTATTTAGAAGGGGGATGGATGTCTTGGAACATGCTTGTCTTCATCAGTAGTGCTTGTAATGTCCATTTTTTTTCCCATTCTTCTGCCTCCTGCATTTAGATTAATTTTTTTACCCAAGGACAATTTGTACATCCTTGGAATCTTTATCTTCTGTGCAGGAGGAAAGCAGTTCTTGTTTTGGTGCTCAGTAGCATCTAGGACCTGGTTTCTAATGTTGCTCTTGAAGAGTTGTGCTGTAACAGTGCTTTACTTCAGCATCATTGCAGGAGCCACAAAAGCCTCACTTTCACAAAAGTTTCACTTCCTGAGACTTCATGACAGACATGGAGAACTATATAAAATGCAGAATTCTGTTTAAGAGTAGAAGGAGTAGCTAGAAGAATATAATCTTTGCCGGAAAAATGGAAACTGTTTTAAAACCCCGTGCTGGAAGTTTCTAGAAAATGCCTACCATCTGTCAAAAAGCTATACTGGAAGTAAGTTGTAATGACTGAAGAACAATACATAGGAAGTTATTGGAAGTAAAAACACATCCTCCTCCTTCCTTCATTTGGAGGGACATACTGGAAGGCTAGATGTAAAAGCAGGATAAGTCTAGCCAAAAGCAGTTTGAGGAATAGATGGTAAGATGCAATAAAAACTACTATAACTTTTTAAAACACATGCGAGTATGCTTCTTATCTCTGCAACCTACAAGGCCAGTGTGTAAATAAAAAAAAAATCCTCCAAGAAGCTATATCAGTGACTTTTAGTACTTTTTCTGAATTTTTCTATAATATCATTATTGTTTTTAATGTATATGTTTACTTGGAAAAGCTTTGATAATGTTTTTTAAAACCATTTTTTATTGGTGGGGCACAAGAGAGTATCAATTTCAAATTGAAGAACTGGTAATGGGTTAAAGAACAGCAAATCCAAATAGCAAATTAAAGGCAGAGGGATAGAAACCCTGTTTGAATGGACACCATTCATCCATCTATTCAAAAACAAAGTCAGCAAACCACACAGCATGTTATCTCACCTCTTTCAAACTGTCTTTCTTCCAGAGGAATAAAAGTGGTTAAGGTAATGCTGATAATCTTTAAAGTCATTCCAAGGATCTGAGACAACCAGATATCTCTGAGATACCAGCATAAGGGGTGCAGTTTGTAGGAGTGTATATTAGCATGAGGAAGAAGGAAACATGTATTTTGCAAAAAACAAAATAATGTCTTCAGATCTATCTCTTCTGTGATCTTGTATCTTTGGTTTTCCAAAACACATCCAGCAAGGTTGCACAATTCCTAAAGAAACTGAGCTACTGTGAGGTTGAGTGTATCTTCTTAGATACCTGTAGCTCCTTAGATACTTGCTTAGTGAAATAGAAAACAAAATATAGGGCAAAAATATCAGTTCTCAAAGCTCAGTAAATTAGCAGTGAAGTCCCACACATGCCTTTGCAAAGGCCATGGCTGCCCCCTGTGTTTACAGGTGTTCTGGCAAATGGGAAGCAAAATCTACAAATGTAGAAATATCTCATAATATCAGATAAAGGGATAGATGAAATTCAGTATTGATAATATGATAGTCATGGCTGGGTGAGGAAAAATCTCATGTATAGAACAAATCAGGCCAAAATGTTGATGTAATAGAGATTTCTGGGAGAAAGTCATCTGTGTTTAATGGAATCAACCAAGAAAATGTTGAAAAACATCAGGGAAAAAAAGACAACAGAAAATTAACAAATAAAGAGCCATTATGTTCCCTGGCCTTATTTTGTTGCCAGTACAGCAAAATTGAAGAAGGTGCAGGGAGGACAAGAATGATCAAAGGAATTAGTTTAGTTTGGAAAAGTCCAAACTGAGAAAGAACATAATAAATCTGTAAATGGTTATGAGCATTGCTGGAAAGCGTGAGGGCAGAAGGGCAGCTCAGTTTTTATTTGGAAAAGAACTTACAGAATACTAATGAAAGATAGAGGTGTCAAATTTCCAAAGGAGATGCTACTTCACAAAGCATGTAATTCAGCCCTGGAACTTCTTGTTTTGCACAATAGGTGCTACAGTATGCATGGATTCAAAAGTGATTGGATGAATGAGTACTTAGTGGATGCTGCAGACAAAACACTTGGTTTTGGACCTGTAACCTGACCAGGGATGGCCATTATTATGTAAATTATTTATTGTCATAATAGTTAAATGTTTCTTAAAATATATAATTATTTCCATTCCTTCAGGCTAAATTGAAGTTCCATATCCAGAATCCTAGTGCAGCTGATCTGGTTCATTTTCTCTTTACCCCACTACAAATGGTAAGCTTTTACAATTTTCTCAGTGTTTTCCTTCAAAACTCTAGTATTTATATGCTCTGTAGCCTTTTCAAGGAGCATATCTCAGTATGAGGTTTTCTTTAGGAAATAATTTATACCCTTTTCTGCATGTATACCCATCTATTAGATATATTTATTTAAATATCTTTAGTTTTCTGTTATGCTTTGCCATTATAATTTTTAAGTAGCAGTAAAAAAATGGAGATATTCTGCATAATGAAGGAGGAGAGTTGAAAGCATTGGCCATATGTCTATTTAATTGAAGTATGTGTGGCTTTGATCAGTAAAGCAAAAATAACATTGCCAAAAGTGGGCCTAAATAAGAAATGGTTGGTGACCAGACCAGCAGTTCTTCAGCAATAAATAGCTTAGTTAATCTGTAGGACCTTAAGACACATTGGCAGCACTGCAGGTACCATATATTCACAGTAACTTCCCCACTGATAGTATGCATGTTGTTTGTATTCTTTTAATCCTTGGATTTAGGTGGTACAGACAACAGGAGGTCCAGAGCTTGCTGGTACAGTACTCAGCCCCCTCCTAACAAAAGATACCATAGACTTCCTGCGATATACTGTCACCAGCGAGGAAGGACAGTTATGGATGTCGTTGGGTGACACGTGGACCAAAGCCAGGTGAGGAAAAGTCTTTACATGTTTTAGAGGAGATCTCTAAAATCAAGTTTATTGACATGCTCTTAACCAGGTTGTTCAGCCTCCGGTAAATTCAGCATTACTTTGCTAGGCTTTGGACTCTTCAGAACTGCTCTTTGAAGTTTTTAGAAAGGAACTGTTTAGCTTCACTGGGATTTGGGATCTCAAGGAGAGAGAAAATGCAGGCAGATTTTTTTTTTGGTCTGTGATCCAGAATCTATTGACATAAACTTTTGCAGTAGTTTTTTTTCTGAACTGTCCCTTGCGTGTGTCCTGTTGTTTTTCACCATTATTTTTCCAACACATCTATCTGGAATTCATTAAAAATCAGTTCAAAGAAACTGCAATAAAAAGATGACAAAATATTAAAGAATAAAATACAGATGTCTATTTTCAATTTCCAATAATTATTAAAAGTTAAAAATTTGCAATGTCTTTGCTTCTTTAAAAGCATCTTAATACTATAAAAATGTTTATAGTTTTAAAACAGTATTTATTGTCTGAGCTGTGCTACATGTGCATACATTGCATTTAATGGATGTATTAATATTAGACTTAGCTTAAAGTTAACTTCTGTATGCATTTGTTGTTTTTGAGGTAAGTATATAGTTTGAAATTACATGAATTGAACATGCAAAAGGAAAACCTTAAATCAGTGAAGTGCATTTTGACTCTGTAATCTGTGGTGGGTAAGTACATTTGATGATGATGAAGTATGCTATCACTTGGGCTGGAAATGCATCATGTGTTTTGTGTTTATTCATCCTTGCTCTTGGATTTCAAATTGGAACATAAATGCCTACCAGACGGATTCTTTTTTTAAATTAATTAATTGGTTGATTAAAAACTACAGAGTGTTTTGCTGGTAAGAAAAAAACTGCATGGAAAGCCCAAGAGCATGGAGCAAGAAAAATCATCAGAGCAGGGAGAGTGACACACAGGTCTTTCCCTTGCTCTCACTCTGCTGCAGGATCAGGAATTTGTCCAAATTTGTCCTTTGGGTCTATGGTTTCGCCTGGTACTACAAAATGAACTGGAGACAGGAAGTGCAGCTCCCTGTGATTGCCAGGGAGCTTATCCCAGCAAAGCACCATTTGCTTGCCTTTGCCTGCCTCAAGCCCTGCAGGCTCCATAGCAGCCTGCGGGGGGACTGGAGATTGCCTCATGGCATTGGAGCCCCGTGCAGGGAAAATGAATCACTGGGTAAAATAATGAGCTCCTTGTCTTGGGAACTACCTTCATCCATTCATTTAGTCCATCCTGAGAAGAGGTTAATGGAAAGAGAAATAGCTTTTGTTGGGTAGTGAGGAATGAAGCACTTAGAGTGTAGTTGGTTGACCTGTGCAGATTAGAATTGATGCTCTGATTGATCTCAGTATCCAGAAGTACACTGGGTTGGGGTGTAGCAGGAGAGGTGAATGATACCACTTGAGGGTTACTGACCTAGCTCAGGCCTGCTAGGAATTGCTGACTGCTCATGTGACTGGAAGCATTTGTCCCTTAATTTTGAGCAGTGTCAGCAATGAGCCTGTTAAAAGACTGCAATGTACATTCCCATTCCTGTTTCCACTGTGAAGACAAATTAATTTATATTGCAGGATGGAGTGTTATGTGTAGTGCAAAGGCAGAGCATGAAAGCATTAATTTAGGTATTTTGTATTACAACAGAGAATGCTAATGGAACTCTGAAAAGTAGTACAGTATTTTATAAAGATCAATCTGGACTATAAAACAGCAAATGTGATGACAGTTCGTGTGTCTTGGAGCATGTAGAGTTGGGTGAGTTTTTTTGTCAGTAACAGCTATCTAAGTTTTTGGATTAGGTGTAGCTAGTCCCCCTAAGCTTCCATGCTTCACACTGCTTTCAAGAATTCCTACAAAGCTGGCTGTTTTTTTGAAGTCTTTTGTCTGGTGCTTTCACACAAACAGAGAGAGCATAGCAGTATTTTCCCCCATTTCACTGTTAAAACAAATCTTAGACTTGTTTTGATTGATTCTTCTAATACCCATCCTTTATTACAAGACAGAAGTTTGTTGTATTTTAGCATTGACATGTCCTTACAGCAGGAGCAATTTCTTTCTGCGGGGCACTGCAGGGAGGGTAGTTGTGGTAAATGTTTTCTGATGATTTTCTGTGTTCTAGCACAATTCTGCCTCTACTGTAATCCCAACCTCTCCACTACACTGATAAAAACTCTAAAGCATTTCAATTTTCAGTAACTTAATAAATCAGTATTTGTATGGTCCTTGATGCAGATCTCTAATTTACTTTTCATACAGAGCTGATTGGCCCAAAGACCATTTTATTCCTCCTTATGTCCCCCGTTTCCGAAATGGTTGGGAACCTCCTTTGCTGAACTTCATGGGAGCTCCGAAGGAACAGGAACTCAACCATTTGGCTGAGTCTGTGGCAAACGTTGCAGAGCAACAGCGGAAGCAAGAGATGAAAAGGATGTCAGCTGAGGTAGGTTACTTGGGACAGTGTTCTGGAAATTAGCTGATGACAACATCAACTGCTTCCTTCATAAAGAAGATATTCCATGATACTGTTGGAGTTACCATTCTCTGGGATTTGCTGCATCAGTGCAAGCACTTTACACTTACATTAAAGTCGTGTGAAACCAAATAACCATTCAGGTACCAAAAATGCTGTTAGGAAAAATATAAGGCTTTTGCCTGCTGCTCTCCTTGAACTTAGGAGGACAGTCCAAGCCCCTAAGGTTCAATTTGATTCGGGCCCTCTGCTATCAGATCCCATTGATTTTGATCATGTATACTTCAGGCAGTATTTCAACCAAAGGGCTCTAAAATGTGCTCTCCATGTACAGGCATGTAGAGTAAAAGAAATAAACGCCCCTTTTTTGTGGCACTTTGGGTTTAACCTGCTTCTGAAAAATAACTGCTGACTAGGACAATTATTGTACAAAACATTTTCCCAACCTTTGTTTTCAAAGTAATGTGGTGAATTTAGCAAAAGTTAGAGAATTCTATTTAGAGAATGGAAACATGCACCACCATCTAAAGCCTTCAGAGAGAGTGTTTACTGACCAACTTTATAGTCAGTCCCTTTGTTTCTCAACCAAGATTCTATCCCTACTTTTTCGGTAGAGTTGGTCAGAAAATGAACTTTGATTTTTCTGAAAATTTTAGTATATATGGATTTTCTTGCTTTTTAATTAACAAAAAAAGCCATTGCCTTTTAAACATATAAAAATTTTCATTTTGGAAGATTTTTTTTGGGGGGAAGACATAAGATTTAATTTAAATTTTTTATTTATTTTTCTATTCTGATTTTCATTTAAACGAAGTGTTAGCTAGTCCAAGGTCCCCCTGATAGCAGCTGTAACATTGAAGTGCACCTAAGAATTTTCTAAGTTCACTTCATAGTTTTTGTCTATCTTCCTCAAGCAGTCTACACCAGTACCATACTTGGAGTAAATCTTAGCACAACAGTACTGGATTTTATCTTAATTTTTAACTATATATGGTTTTATCTGCTAGTAAAAATGTTGCATTCAGAAGAATATTGAAGGGAATGAGTATTGACAGTTATGGGATGGTGTTTTCTTCCATAGCACTTCTCTTATTGGAAACAATAAAGACTCCCCAGCAAAAGTTTATCAAAACTGCTTAGTCACAGGAAAACTTTATTTTCATGACAATCTCAGTCAAAAAAAAATGTCTGCTTAGCTTTAGAGACAAATAAATTTGGTTAAAAGTGTGCCAAGCAAAGGAGGATAACATGGTACATATCTGATTACTTAAAACACTTTTTTGCTTTATGCCTAACAAGATATACAAGAAGAAATGTGCCAAAAACTAAGTTATTGCTGATACTCTATTTTGAGCAAAAAAGCATTTAGTAAAATTAATGGTACAATAAAGTGAAATGTAGCTGTTGGGATTGCTGTCACCCCCTTCCCTAGTCACCTCCCCAGAAAATGTCATCAAACATTTTTTCATTGTTCCCGGCTGCTCTACGTTTCCATGTGGATTTTTGTTTATATTGTGCTCCTTCTAAATAACAACAACAACAATAATAATAGTATTGAAACTTTTTCAATAGTACTGAAAAAAGAATTCTGATGATTCTAAAAATTTTATTTATATATATGTATAATAACCTAAAACAAATTTGAACAGGGAGGATATATTGAGGTATTTTGGTTGCTTGTGTTTTGGGGAGTAGATTTCACTCTTTTCATGGTGGTTGATTGCATTGGTAGTTATTTATGCCAACTTAGTCTCTTTATCTTAACCTTCAGGAGACACACACACACACAAATACACACACACACACATATATATCCCAGATCATTGAAGCTGTTTGTGTGCCTGGCTCCTGGGATGTCAGGCCTTGGTTTCATGACTGTCACTGGTTCCCTCAAGGTCTTGGGCAACTGATTTAACCTTGGTACCTTGGCTCCCTGTGCCCATGCCTCCTCAGCACATCCCTAGGGGGAAGAACACTGAGCTGCTTAATAGCTGTGAAATGCTGTAGGTGCTCAACTGGAAAAAGCTGCATGAGTGCAAAAGGCAATTTGTCTGCAGCAAAAAGACCACCCTGGAATGGGTGATACCAGAATAATTATTCCTCCTTAAGTCTACCATAACAGCTTATTTAATGAAGAGTGATGGAAAAGTAAGATGAGAATTTAAGTGTTTATCTCTTGCTGCTAATTGGCCTGGTGTCCCAGTGTGGCATTGATCTCCTGGGGACCACGACTGGCTGTGGAGAGCTGTGCTGTGCTGGGGATGGAAAAGGGGGTGCATGTTGCCATCCTCCCTGATGGGCAGGGGCTGCTCAGGCACCAGGAAAAGTGCACTGAGGGTTCCCATTCAGGAGAATCTATCTTTGCCTTTCCATTCCTGAATCTTAAGTTCTAGCCACACATGCAGCTCCCACTGGAGGGATTTCAAGGTGGAGTCAGTTCAGCAATGAGGACTTCACATGGTGGTGAAACAACCACCAGAGAGTCCAGTGAGGCTGAGGCAATGCAAATAATTTGTGTGTGAAGTACAATGAGCTCCTGCTTCCAGGGTGTCTTTTGATGTAAGGTATAAGCTAGATGACACTCGGTATTTTTTTCAAAGAGGTCTTAATAATACAGTTTTAAAGAATATTCTATGGTGTAGGGAGTTTGTTTGCTTTTTATTTCTTTTCCTAAACCCTTAGTCCCCTGCACAAGTGTCTCTGAGTGCCAGGTCAGATACTTGGAGGTAGGTTTTTCTGTAGCCACCCAGACAGAGATGAAAAAATCAAAACCAATTAATAACCCACAAGAAAACAAACAAAAAATTAAAAAACAACCAAGAAACAAGGCTTAGAGATTTGGCAGTTGCTCTTGAATCTCAGCCTTCTAACTTGGGCAACTGGATGGTGACATAAAGAGAAGATACAAACCAAGAAATTTCAATATTATAATATCCAGAAATTAACTGTTTAGCTTCTTTTTGTTTGGGGGAATGGTGATTAAAATATTTCTTACTTAGAAGCTGAGCATCACTGATGGATTTAAAGTGGGGTTTTTTAAAAAGAATTTCCTAAAGCCTTGAATCTTCTTATATATGTCTTTGTGATAAATTGTAATGTTTTTTCTTAGCTAAATTCCTTAATTATACCAAACAACACTCCTTTTTGCATTTCTTCATTGGCTATAGTCATGTTCAGTGGGAGGGTGACACTTTATATTATGATCTTGCAATAGAGTGATAATTTTACTTGTGAGGCTTTATCTCTTGTACAGACATAGTGCTGGCTAGCCAGAGGTTTCTGGCTTCAAGTGTACACCTAGAACAAAAGCTCAAAGCAGTTTTGCAGTGCAGTTTATTTTATAGCTGTTCAGCCATTGTTTTGTAAGTTGTGTTGCTGTAGTGATATCTGAGAGATGACATGGACCTTGCCCCAGAGAACTGTTTTTCTAAAGAATATCCACTGCAATATTAATGCAGTGGGATGACATAGGATAGAAATTCTTTTATTCTTATCCTTTTGATCTCTGTGCTTCTGTATTTGAAATGCAGAAGTTATTAACTTTTCATAGCAGAACCACGGGCACCTGAGGATGCGGGAATGCTGACAGGGACCCTGGGGGTGCTGGATTAAGTGAGTAGGCAGTACCACTGATGACACTAATCCACTTTGTGGCTTTGTTTCTTTTTTGTCTTTCAGCCTCCCGGTGTTCCTGACTACCCTCCATCAGATGGGTATGCATTCAGTAACACAGTTTACAAAAGAGGGCCTCTGCTGGACCAGGGGGCAGCTGTTGCTGCCTTTAAGCAAACTGTTAGCCGACATGTAGATAGGTAACACTGACTCAACGGCGTTCGTGGTGCTGTGGAAAACTGTCCCGACTTATTGCTCTTGGGGTGGCGGTGTCTGTAATTACCTCTGGTTCTGTCTACAGCAGTTCATTATTTCTTTTGAGGGAGTGATTCTGGTTAGCAGTGTGTATTCTGCTTTTACTGCTTCTCTAAGGTGCACCATTAAGATTCTTTTAATTCAATTTCTATGAAACTACCCTGTTCATCTATGATGTTAAATTGATGCTGTTGTCAAAAATGATATAGTGGAATTGCAATCCAATTGCAAGTGCAGAATCCTCCTATTAGGGCTCAAATTTTAGTTCTGATTTGCTTCATGTTTTTAAATATACTCTTTGATATTTTCAGAAGTACAAAGAATGACAAGCCCGCTCTGAGATTCACCTGTCCTTGTTTTGATTGATTGTTTGATGTGCTTAGCTGCTCACTTAGTGCTTCATAGTCTCCTGCTTTTTGTTTTCTGGGCTGTTGTATAAATATCCATTTTCAGAACAGTGACTCTTTGTTTCTTTCATTCTTTTTCAAATGTTACAGAAAATGCCCTGAAATCTTTGCATAGCAACCAGTGTCTTTTTGCACATCCTCCCCACTTCATTTTCTCTAAACCTGAATAACTTGACAAGAGTAAGTGCAGTGATCCTTGACCTTGGCTGGGGGCAGAATTTGTACCAGCACAAGTTGTGGAAGTAGATCAGTAAAGAAGTGCTGGAATTGCTCCCCCATGCCAAACCATATTCCATATAAGCCATATGAACAGTATTTTGGCTTATGTACCATGGAAGATGTTTAAGCTAAGTTTTTAGGATCAGATTGCTGATCATTAACTATTGTGATGAAAACCCTTGCAAAATTCCTAGTTTTATTCCTACTGTGTGCTAAAAGATCCTGTTATTAATCTACATGCATCAAATTCCCGTGTGTTATGCAGGTCAAAGACTCAATTCTTTTCCTGAACTTTGGACTTACTCTTCATAACAACAACAGCAGAGTAGTCATCTCTTAATTGTTTCCTCAAACTTGGTTGTCTGTTGCATTCTTGTCTCAGGACCAGTCAGCTTGAAATCTAGATGATTTGTATGAAAAATTCCTTTCTCTTATCTGTAATGTGGTAAGACTTGTTTTGTCCTTTCAGAGCAAGAGTATTCTGTGTAAATGTTGTTGCCTCTACTTCAGTTTAGAGAATGAGTCTAATTGCATTGAATTGTTGATAATATCAGTGTATCTGGCTGCAACTGAAAGAGTCACCCAAGCTTCCTTTGTGGTAGGTAAAGAGAAATGGGTGTTTCTAAGAAGGAGTTCAAGAAAGGTGAAATTAGTCTTTTGAAAACTAAGAAATGGGACATGCTATAGTGATGCCTGTTTCTCACCACTGATTGTAGGAAGGAGTCTAGATGGCTGGTACTGATGCAAACATCCACAGTGTGCCCCTATCTTACAGTCCTTTCAATACAACACAAGCTTCTGTTTGTTAATTAGCTCTCGAGACATATAACACAGTGCTTGGAGGGAGCTCATTTAAAGTTAGGTTTTGAAGCATCTGTGAACAAAGAGGAATGAGTTTGGGGGAGGAGTGAGAAATTCGTGCTGACTCAAAGCTGGCATTCCTAATGAGCAGTCTGAAGATAGTGACCAAGCCACCCACTACCTGTTGAGGGACAGGTAGGTTACACCTTGTCCATGGAAATTTTAATCACAGGGAATTTCAGGAGGACTTATCCCAACATACTAGGACCTCCAATACGTAGTGTTTTCCTTGGGTGATATAAGTAAAGTGTCAGAATCTTTAACTTTCGGTGTGATATTAGGAATTTTGGGAACTCCAATGCTGAAAGAGTACTGAATAATTTTCAGCAAGTTTTGTGATGTTTCAGAGTTTTATGCAGTGTGATTTGTTTTTGTGATGTCATTTGAAGGAAAGCTCTCTGAAAGTCTGTGCAACCCCCTAGGCTCTCAAGCAGAGTGCACTGGAGAGCAAAGGGGTGAAATTATGGCTTATCTGATAGGCAGTAGGAATCACAGGAGTGGATGGGTGGATGGAAGTAAGTGTTCAAAATATTTGTGTCCAGAGTAAACTGACTCTTTAGGATAGGCTTGAAGAATTAGTCTCTTCAGAAGCATGCAGCCATTGCCTGGCCCGTGTTATAGACATGTTGCTGTTGAGCAGAATAAAACTACAATGTAGATGTTTACTTTAAATTCTTCCTGAGTGATGTTTTTTGAAGGAATCAGGATGTAGACAATCAGATGTAGACAAGGTAGGAAGACACAGTTATTGAAATCACAGACTCGTAGAATGGTTTGGGTTGGAAGGGGACCCCGAAGATCATCTCGTTCCACCCTCCTGCAATGGGCAGGGACACCTTCCACTAGACCAGGTTGCTCAAAGCCCCATCCAGCCTAGCCTTGAACACCACTAGGGATGGGACATCCACAGCTTCCCTGGGAAACCTGTTCCAGTGCCTTAACACTCTCACAGGAAAGAATTTTTTCCAAATATTGTAATAATCTAAACCTGTCCTTTTTTAATTTAAACCCATTCCCCCTTGTCCTGTCTCTACATGCCCTTGTAATAGTCTTGCCCCATCTTTCCCATAAGGTTCCTTCAGGTACTGGAGTGATTTTGGAAAAAGAGCCTAAAAGTAAAAGCACTGTCAGAGCTGAGATAGTGAGAAGGGAGTTGAAAATTATATAAATTTTAAGTGGGTGGCAGAAAAAACTGGATTACTCACACGTTGTTCAGCCTCATAACAACTATTCCATCCCCTGCTTTTCACTCTCTCCTTAAACACTTTTAGTGTTTTATCTTTCTTTCAAAATAATCTTTCAATCTAAATATGACTCTTCCTTGGTTCTGCTCTTCAAGTCAAGTGAGACAGTTCTCCACAGCCATGCAATAGCCAGGTAACTGCTGGATTGCTCAGGCACACCCGGGATCTGCGGTTACACAGCACCAGCATCAGCAACCATCTGCACTTGTATCCCTGTGCTGTGATGTGTGCAGCATTTCAAGCCATCAGTTGCTGCATGTTTTCATCAGCTGTTCAAATATATTTATTTATTTATTTATTTGTTTTACTGCCTGGTATGGATTTATGCTGTTTGGTGTAGTTGGCAATAAGTGAATAATATTATTGGGTGGGGGGTTTTTTTTTGGACCTGTTTTGAGTGGGCTGGGAGCTTCTCAACTTGAAGAGGTACTATGTCAAAAAACCTAGTAGCCTCTTAACCAAAGGCATTCTGAACGGTCATTCCTCATGCAAACAGAAAGATACAGAGCTAAACTGTGGTATGCTTTGTTTCTGCCATGAACCCTGTTTGTAACTGCCAAGAAATTATTTCTCTTTTTTAATTGATGAAGTAACCTGAGGTTGTTAGAATTGATGGTATCTTATGGTCAGTTAAGAAAACTGACCTAACAGTAGGTGAGTGTTTTTTAGAGTTTAATTCCATCAGTGTTTATGGTAAAAGTTTATTCATCTACTATGAATTTAAAACAATTTATGATGAACACTAGAAATACAATTTCATACAAAGCACAAGATATCAATTATATAGAAAGTATAGTCATTTGTTTCTATGGCAAATGATTGTTTAACCTTCTGTAGGAAAAGAAACTAAATATATTGTACTTCTTTATTTTAAAACAATGGCACCTGCTAATCTGTTATCATACATCTTGCAAGCAGTGAGCTGATAAAGGTCCATGTAGTTCAACCACCTCCTTATTTTCTTTTATTTATTTTTTATTTCTTTTTTTTTGGCACTTAAATCAGTATATTATGAATAGGTAGTTCTACAGCAGCATCATGTTATGGTTGAGAGGTGGTTTTTTTAAAAAATGTTTTGCAGGTCGTTGGAAGAGGGCATTTCTGGTTTTATCTGCTTGAATGTCTCACTGAACAATAGTCTGATCTTTGCTTTGCAGAAACTATGAAGCACACAATAAAACACAGAGCAAGAAATATGCCAAATGCAAGTATGAATTTATGGCAAGAAACAACAGCGAGCTTTCCGTCATGAAAGAAGAGATCGTAGAGGTAATTTTGTTTGCAAAGAGGACACAAATTTCTGGTGCTGCTCAAAGCTGAAAGTTTTTCTGTGGACAGTGTGGCTGTCCTTAATGTTTCCTGCAATGTGTTTGATTTATCTCCCTCAACATGGAAAATTCAGTTAATTTGTTTTGGATCATTTTTGCAAAGGATCATTTTTGCTGTAGAGATCCATGCTAGAAATATATTTGTGTGGTTTTTTTACATCGTCTCTGGTGCTGCTTTTAAACATTTAGTCGTACTTCAAGAACTGGCTCTAGCAAGCACTATCTTGTATGCACTGGGTATAGGGACAGACTGTCCTTTCCTGGAGGAGCTGATACCCTGAAAGTGAGATATGTTTGGAAGGAAAGGAGCAACAAAGACAGAAAATGTTGTAAATGAGATTGTACAGCAGGTAGTCAGATTTCTGGCTTTTCCTGGCCATCCTGCTCCAGTTTCATGTTTACTCAGAAGTGCTGCCTCTCCAAATTTGTGCTCTCCTAGAACAATGCCCTTTTACTTGGATTAATAATTATTTAGTCCTTTTGTTGCCAGCATATAGATTGTAGAGGGGCCAGCCTCTCTGTGCAAGTACTTGATTTTCATTCCCCTGTCTGATCCATCACATGTCTGAGTTTACAGAGCTTCATTACACACTTCTCTTCCATATCCTTTCTTGAGAGCCCTGTCTAGAAAAGTGCAGTACAACCATGTAGAATTAATAATGATGATAATCAAGGAAGCTACAGAGTTTTCTTAGGGACATATCTCTGTAAGATCTTTTGGCAGTCACAGAACCCGGCAAAGTTATGGCTTTGTTTCGGAACTTTGCACAGACTAAGCACTGGCAGGAGGAAAATCAGAAAAAATATGTAATTAATTTACCAAATTATTTCAGATTCTGGATGACAGAAAACAGTGGTGGAAGGTTCAGAACAGGAGTGGCAGCACAGGCTTTGTGCCAAACAATATTTTGGACCCTCTGAGGAATCAAGAAGGTGGTCAAGGATGGCCGGAGCCTGCGTATACTCGCACCATCCAGGTACTGTCTCCTGCTGGCAGCCAAACTTTCAAGTGTGAATGTGTGCATGTGGAGGAGGAAGAGGTTCACAGCAAGGCTAAAGTAGCTGCATGTTCCAGTGATATGTCAAAAAGAATTTATATTTCTTGTACAGCATGAGTGTGATTTCTGTATTTCATAGAGTCCAACTGGAGAATAAATGTGATAGAGACACAGCAAAATGTTTTACTTTGTTTGTTTCCTGATTGTTTGCTTAGAGGCGGTAATTTGAATCCTAATGGATCTGTATGTATTTATTTTAATTGCGAATGTCCTTTGTGGATTGATAGCTGTTGATGCCAAAGAAGGAGTTTGAATTATTTAAGGTAGGGTCATCTTTGTTTCTCCTAGGAGAGTGAACTGTAGCTTTTGTTTTCTGTCTTTGTGTGTCTCTATCTTGGTCTTGATTTTTTTTTTATTATTGCAATTGTGTAGTCAGAAAAAAGGCATATTTGCTTTTGAATTCACAAAGCAGGTATTTTTCAATTACTTTGTCTGTGCATCAATAGCACTTTATCATCCTGACCTAATTCTGGTTTTCTTTCTTTCGTGTAGTGGTGTGGAATTAAGATTTTTGTTGTTGTTTCTTCTATGTGTTCAACAGAATTAGAGAGTAAAATACTCTCTAAAAGAGGTAATCTTCCATCAGTGCAATTGTCCGCCCAAGTAAGGATATACAGGATAAAGTTGTAATGTGTATTTTTAGACAAAATTGAAAGGGAGTCAGAGGCTGCTTAAATAAGAGGTTATATTTTCAAAGACCTGCTTCTTTTCTTTTATTTCCTATGATCTTGAAAGCTTAGGCAAACAAGCTTGGATTAAGCAGAAATTCCAGGCCTGCCTCTGAATCAGACTTTTAACGTCCAAATGCAACCCAAATTTCTGTTGAAACTTGAAGTTTAATTTAATTTAATCTAATATTCATTCCTTGTCCTTGCACATTGCAGCTGATGACTGAAAACCAATAAATGCCATAATGTTTTGCACAATAATGTAGTAGACCTGTCTGGAGCTTGATGGACTTGCATCAGACCATTTCTGAGCTTTCCTATCCATAATTATTTGCCTGTAATGTATTGGCTCATTCTGAATTGATTATGGCTTTGCCTGTCTGCGAAATGAAGCATGCATCTAGAGTGCTTTTCAAATTCTGATTTAAAGATCTGACTTGTTTTTTTAATTCATGTGCATGTCATTTTGTGTGTTTGGAATTTGCCAACAAGTCCTGAGCAGACCAAGTACAGTTTTGAGTAGAGGTTCTTACACTGTTCTTTGTAATGCACTGCAGGGTTTGCAGTTTTCTGTTTGAAATAATGACAGGATGTGGCATATAATAAAGTAATCATTTCCACAAAGCTTTCTCCATGGACCTATGAAAATTAGGGTCAGAAAACAACATTTAAGATAAGTTTGTTTCTTTGCCTGCTGGCAGGTTAGTCCCTACAGCTTGATCATATTCAAATGTGAGCTTGAAGCACTGTGAAATTATTTAAGAATACAATGGATTGCACAAGATAAATGGTGTATTTTCCAAGAATGTCAGTAATGTTGTTCTTAACTTCGTGGTGATTATTATAATTTTAGCAGTCCTGAGCGTGCTCATTTGTGTGTTCTCCTGTGATAGATACATGGTTCATTTGGGATCTGTTTGCATAAGTCTATTTATTTTCATAACAGCGCTGTGAGACATTGCTGCTATTTCAGAAAGAAATGAGGCAGTGAGGGGATGACTGCCTCGCCCAAGGTCAGACAGGAGAGCTTGTGGGTAGAGCAGGAAATTGAAGCAGTTCCTATCATTGCCTTGCCAGAACCTGAACACGAGCAGGCTCAGCACCTGGTGCTGTGCAGCTTTTGCTGTTCTCCTGAATCATCTTTGGTTTCCAAAGGACTGCCTTCAAAGCATCCTGTCTGCTGTGGTGTGAGCTGCAGATAAGTGGTGTGTGAAAGGTTGGTGTCTTCATTTACAGGCTAATGGCCTTCAGTGCACTGCTCACCAAAGGATGTTTCCAGATTACTGGGGAGGATTAAGGATTCCATTGAAAGACATAATTTTTTCATTTGATTGTGCTACAGGCAGACACCCTTTCTCTGAGAGGTGGATACCTCATTATCACAATTATTCTCAGAGCCTCAAAGTTTATTTTACTCTCACTGTGTCCCCTTCCTAGTGACTTCTGAACCCACACATTAGCTTAGACCCTGATTTTTCACAGAGTCCCTTTCAGGATCCAGGTCTCAGATTGTTACTTGAAAGCACAAGGTGATACTTGCAGGAGCATTGCCAGCAACATCCAAGATATTTCATCATCCTTGTGAGTTGGAGGCTGTAACCCTGTCTGTCTTCTGGTCAGCTGAATTACTTCCAGGCAACATTTTGCTTGTTTGGTACTTTTGTACTTTTAGGAGAGCATTTTGCTGAATTCTTCTATTTTCTACTAATTTTAATTATTGTTTATAAGAGTTTTATGTGGTGTTGGTCATTTAATCTGTCTTTTAATTTTGAACCAACAGTGGTATTTCACCATCCCATTATGTATGAATATAAACAGTTTCTCAAGCACTCTTAACTTCTGCAAGTATTGCTGGTTAACCTATAAAATAATTCATCATAGTATTTCCTATTTACTGTGCATTGTATTATCGGGTTTTAATACTCTTGAAAACAACATTTGAAGAACATAATTGGAGTAGAGGTGTGTATCTTGATGAGCGTGTTAATTAATCTCCTGACACCCTTTGTGAGGTGAGACAGTTATATTATCAGTGATGTGTATGAAATCCTTAGGCACAGGGAGTAAATGTTGAGTCAAATGCAGTCCTGTAGTCTTACTTTAAAAAAAACATGACTGTCCACAGTGACAGAGTACATAAGAAGCATGTCTGAGGTAGATGAGCACCAAGACAAAAGTCTCCACCTCATTTGGGACAAGTGTCCTTTACCTTTCTTGGTGATCTACTATCAAAACCTTTCTTTCAAGTCTCTCTGTTTATCAGCTCACTAAAAACACCTCTGTGGGAAGTTGTTTCCCCTCAAGTACAATGTTTGTGACTCCAAGTTAGTGTCAGTGTCATACTCATCTTTTGCCAACTGATATCCTTCCTGCAGATCATGAAGTGTTTGATGATGAAGAGATGCACATGCCAGGTGTTCATTTTGCAGTAGTCAATGAGATGTCATAATTCTTGACCAAAGGACAGTATCTTTTTTTATCTCATATCAAATTCTCTTTAAAGCTTCCATTAGACCAAGACTTTCTGAGAGCTTTAATAAAGAAAAGAAAAAGTCCTTTCCTCTCCGGTTCAAAATTGATCCAATCCCAAATTATGGGATGCCACGTATTAAACAAAAATGTACTGAGTAGTTGTAAAAAGGATTTGATAACTATAAGACTTGAAAGTCCCCAGTTTGTCCATACTTTCCTTTCTTCTTTCCTTCCTTCCAGGGATTAACCCTAGCTAATAACAGTTTGAATAAGTAAATTGTGTCTAAATTTCCTGTAAATTCAGTAAAACCACAAATGTGGTGCACCCCACAAAGATTTATTTTGGTGACTTTTAATGGGATTTTAATAGGCAGCTGTTTGTGTAAGAGCTGAACCCACCAAAGTAAACTCTGGCAAAAGACCTCACTTGAAATTTTTGCTTCCAGTCTTGGGTACCTCATTGCCCTTTGGCTGAAGACAAATACTTGGTTCTCTCTTCAAATGAGTCTCAGGAAAACATCCAAACCACAATGCTGTTGACAAAACTGAGGCTGAATGCTCTGCATCCCTCTTGGTGGACTCCTGTCACTGTGCAAACAGGAATGTGGCACTAAAATGTTTGGAAAGAGAGTAAAGGGGAAGTTCTCTGTCTGTGTTAACTTAATGAGAACATTTCCCAGCACTAACACTAGTTATGGCTGTTTCCAATGCCTTTTTTGATGTTAAGTATGTACCATAGTTTGAATATGCATATTTCCTTTTTATGCCAAAATGCATTCAAAAATATGTTGTTCCCAGTCTTTTACAATGATCAAGAATTAGGATTGATACCATTAGCACTTTTACTCAAACATATTATTTTGCTTTCATTAAAAATAGATTGAATCATACTGAATCTTGGGTTTTTTTACATGATGCAACCTGTAGTGTGTTGAAAACAGCTTTGGGAGTTCATTTTTCTCCCTGTAAAAGCAAAGGTTTTCTGGCAAGAAATAAGAAAACAAAATTTAGTCCCAGCAAGCTTTTCTGGTATATCCAGATTTTTAATGAGTGTATGTGTATCATCACAGTTCCAAGTAATTCAAAGGATTTGTTCCAATTTACATGAATTGACAATTGCAAGTTTATTCTCAAAAGAAATAGAAATATGAGGAAGTAGGAAAAATAAAACCCAGAATTGTTCATTGTTCTTACTGCTGTGAGAAAAGGAGTGAGTAGCTAATCAGCAAACTGTCCAGGGAGGTGGTTCTGCCCCTGTAGTCTGCTCCAGGGAGTCCCTCTAGTCTGCCCTGTAGTCTGATGCAGAGCCTACCTGCAGTGCTGCATCCAGCTCTGGGGTCCTCAGCACAGGCAGGACACTGTCCTGTTGGAGAGAGTCCAGAGGAGGCCACCAAGATGATCAAAGGGATGGAGCATCTCTGCTATGAGGAAAGGCTGAGAGAACTGGGATTGTTCAGCCTAGAGAAGAGAAGTCTCTGGGGAGACTGGAGAGGGATGTTTACAAGGGCACGTAGTGACAGAACAGGGTATAGTGGCTTTAATCTTAAAGAGGTTTAGATTATATTTTAGGAAGAAATTCTTTACTGTGAGGGTGGTGAGGCATTGGCACAGATTGCCCAGAGAAGTTGTGGATGCCCTATCCCCAGAAGCGTTCAAGGCCAGGTTGAGTCTAGTGGGAAGGTGTCCCTTTTGGGACAGGAGTTTGGAACTGGATGAAATGTGAAGGCCTCTCCTATGAGTATATGTCTGACAGCAACGACCTTTACCTCATTTTCTGAGCTAGCCAACATTTATGGAGCTAAAACAAATAAGTACTTTTCTTAATACCTGCTGCTGTGACTTACCCTTATTGCTCTATAATTGAAAATGTTCTCTAAATTCACCTGATGATCTTAAATCCATTGTCAGTTTTTTCTTTGGATTTTATATTTTATTAAAACTCTAAGCTTTTGTCAAAGTAGGGGCTTTGAAAAGAGCTGATTGCTTATATGGTTTCATATATGTATGTTTTGTAGCACTCTGTTTCTTATTCAAAATAAGAATATGAGAATAAATCACTATGTGAGTTTCTTAGTAAGTAAGAAGAGTAATAATTAACACTGATATTCCTTTGTTTTAAATTACTAATTGCATAAAATTTCAGGAGTGGTGTGTGAGGCAGTTACGTTTTACCTTTCTGGCAGTACTATTTGATGTGATTTACTCCATTTTCCTCACAGCAATTACTGGGAGAGCTTTCAGAGGTAACTGAATTATTCTTCTGATATTGAGTCTCAAAAAATTACTCTGTTGAACTATGTAGTCACCAATTCCACAGTGCATGCTTGGTTCTTTTTGTAGCAATGAATAGAAGTGATGGGATGAATGTGTGGATGTCCTCAAAAGATCTGGAGTTAAAAAAAGAAATGTTAAGTATGATTCAAATATCTAATTGGCTTTTGGGCACTGTTCAACAAAATGCAAAGTGTATTTCACTGTGGTTTCATCTGTAAATTTAGAATTTGAGTGATGCTTCCAGATTAATTTTGGTTTTCACTCCAGCAAGTTGTTGTGATGAAGCTTATGAGTGCAGTACAACATGTCTTTGAAACTACTCCAAGAGCATCCATTGAGAGCTACACTTGGTTTTTAGCTATCACTTTTTCTGGCTTATGATTGTGGTGATGATGCCTTGGTTTGTAATGAATCCTCTCTATCATAAAAAAGTCCTACTTTTTCTTTGCATGTTTTTTTTAAGGAGATCAAGGCACATGAAGGTACATTGTGGGGATAACAGTCTAGTAATTGGAATCTGCGAACAAGATTAAAAAATGTCAATATCATTAGAACATTTTAATATTTGTGAATTTTTAAAATTCATTAACAAGATTTTGGATATAGCATAGTACATGTACCATAAATTATGGTATATTTGCTTTATACCTCGTAGGGCACTCTCTTCCCACCAAAGGGCAAATTTCATAAATATATTTTTTCTGCTTATTCTCTTTTATATTATGCATTTCACATTTCTTGTCATTTGACATTTTAAAAAGTATTGTCTTAATGTTGAAATAGTAGCGTACAGAAAAGTCATGATTATTTTCTTTTATCTCCCCACAATGCACCGCATAAGGTAGACACAAAACAGTTGAGAGTTGAATGCCTTTGAACAACTAAATGCTAAGATAAAAAACAAACAATAATGTTTGTTTCAGTAACTATTACAATTAAAATGAAAAATTATCTAAGGGAAATAAAAGACTGATTTCTCAGGCTTAATTGACTGGCTGCAGAAGCTGATGGGGTAAGTTTTCTGCTGGTGTGACTTGTCCAGCTGCAGTGGTCCCAGTTTACAGTCATGACAAAATGCCTTGCCCATCAGCTGGACTTAACTGAATTGGAGATTCCTGTAGAAGGGCAGTTGCTGACATTTAATGAAAGTTTGATTGTTGTCAGGGCAGTGATCTGCTGCTCATATTCTGACATATGGCTCCTACAAATATTTCCCTACTTGATCTGCTGTAAACCCTCTGCCTCCAAGGAAATAGGGACGGTTATTTCAGGAAGTAGCAATGAATCTGGGGAATGTACTCATCTATCTTCATACCAAAGTAAACAGAGTTCTCATAACTAAGAAATGAGGCATTCCTATTGGGCAAACAAACTTTAATATTGAACTTTCAAGTTGTGTTAGTCCAAAGTTGCAGAGGGGGAACACTGTTAAACAGTGAGACAGGAAGTGTGAACTGTTTGAAAGAAAAGGGTAGCATAGGTTGCTTACGGACTTGTCTGTCATTGGGATTGCTTTGGGAAGATACTTGCACCTTCCTGTAATCCGTGCCATTCTAAAAGGAAAGAAGAAGAAATCCCTTCCTGAAATTACTTGAGACACCTGTTAGTTAGTTATTAGCAGTAAGATAACTTGCATGTTTTTAGAACTTTGTGTGGAGGGAAAAGAAACAACAGCCCTATTCCAAGAATTGTGAAATTTGGGTTTTGGGTTATTTTTAATTGGATCATTGCATTGAGGTGATATGTAGTGATCACATGACAGCCGAAAAGGCACAGTGCAATGGAGAGGAGAAGGAACCTCTTCAATACTGTCCACAGTTCAAGAAACAATGTGTTATCCCAATCCTACTGACATTTGTAAGTTAAAGCCCTAGTTGGGCTTTGGTTTGGCTGAGTATATTCATTTTTCACTGGTTTTTTTTTACGTAACATCTCTAAAATACACATTTTTACACTGATGAAGTTCAGTAATTCAGAAATATTGAATGCTGTTGAAAAGTGCCAGGCAATAGAGGTTTGAATTTAAGAACAATTTCATTTATAGAATTCATATGTTTGAAAGAAGGAAGGGTATTTCAGATGATTCCATTGCTATGAGCTTTGTATCCCACAACAATTGATGGCAAACATTGATGCCACATCAAGTTTTGGCAAATTTTGGACGTATGTCTGGCAAGTAAGATGCCTTTGTGTAATAAATGACATCAGTTGGTGCAATGCATCCTAGCAGAAACCAGAGTTTGATGTCGAGATTTTGTGGTTGAACTAAGTCTCTCTGCATCTTTCCAGAAACAAAGGACAGACTATGTAGGAAAACAATCTGATCCAGTTCCTGCTACTCCTTCACCACCTCCCACACCTGCTCCTGTCCCCGTGGCTGTCCCTCTTCCTCCCAGTGCACCAGCACCTATTCCAGTTCCTGTGCCCAAAGCGCCAGCAGCCGTCAGCCGCCAAAGCAGCACCTCCAGCGACAGCGGTGGGAGTGTTGCACGAGACACTCAGAGGCAGAAGCAAATTCCTGTGGATCGTAAGTTTGTCTAAGGAACAAGACCGAAAGTATTTCTCCCATTCCTGTGTGTTTTGCTTACTCCTAAAATTCCTTAAAATTGTGTTTCGGATAAAATTTTAATGAAAAATTAAGTTTTAACCCTATGTTTAAAATACAGATTTCCTATGTTTGTTCTGAGATTCCATAATCATATTGGTAAGTAGGGACAGAGCACTTCCACACTTGTCCCAGTCCTAAATCCTCTCCTTTTATGAATGTCAGGGGTCTCCAGTCAGTGGCTTTCAACTCACTGCTGTGAGTTTACAACCAATTTTAAAATCAGTTACACTGTTTTTACACTTCAGTGCATGAACCATAGTGGTCACTTAGACCATTCTAAAATGTATCCAAGGTTTTCAAGACTTACAGGTGTGGCTGATGCATAGAACCATGTTGTAATAGTGTTGTTGGAGGCTCATCTTATGATGAGGTCCCCCTGGCTTGGTCAAAGCAGCAGTAACTGGCAAGCCATGGAACTTTCATGCCCTTGTCTTACGAGGTAGCTCTTTAGCTGGAAAAACTTGATCATGCACATCCAACAGTGTGTGGCTGCCATGAGAAGTTCTGATTAAGGTCACCTTGTAAATATAAAGCCCAGCCAATGCTGAGGCGTGACTGAAAAGCAGGTTGGGCTGGAAGAACTTATGTAGTCAGTAATTTTTGTCCTAAATAGTTTAAAAAGCAATATGATTGTTTGGCTTTGGAATAACTGAAACATGTAGGCAAGTATTTGCTATGGCTTTTAAAGAAAGAGATGTTACAATAATGAGCTTTTTGTAGTTCAAGAGTTGACAGCTTTTCTCATCCTCTGCCTCCCTGCCTTATCAGAAAATCCTACTTCTACCTAAGATTAGAAACTGCATTGAGCATAAGCCTTTCTGGGGAAGGGCTTCTTTTCCCCCTGTCTCCAGTGGATGGGAAGTGTGCCTGTGTAGATTATCACACATCTGGTTGAGGACAAGCTCTTGCCTAAAGCTCTGAACTCAGGAAGGCTCTGGGACCCTTTTAATATATTCACCTAAAGGACAGTCTGGCTGGAAATTAGAAATGAAGAACAGCCTGGCAGGAAGAACAAGCTTCACTGCTGTTTCCCAAAGAAACAGTAGGGCCAGCTTCTTAGTCCTATTTTGGGCAGTTTGTTACTTAAATAAAATCAGGAACCCAAGCAGTTACAAAATATATGGAAAGTGAGAGTGAATTTCACACACACACGTGCACAAAAATGATGACAATTTTATTTCCATGTAAGAACTTTGCATGCCACAGCTTATCTATGTCCTTGAATCCATGACAGTGTTCTCTATCCATCTATGGAAAATCAGAAGACCATCCTGGCTTCAGGTGCAGGATGTGAGGTGTGAAGGATTGCTGTAGGCTAAGTGGTTACAAAACGTCTCTTGCCCTCTCAAGCCCAGATAATGGGCTTCAGATACCTCAAAGTCCTTGCAGAATAGGTCCCTCTCCAAAGGTGATGGCCAAACCCCAACCGTGCACCTGCTGTCCAAGTGCCCACCTGACTCCTGCAGAGAACAATGTGGAGCCTGCTCCACACACAGGGTGTCTTGTTTATTTCTGATAACACATCTAACAACAGTAAAAATCTGTTATCCAACAACTAAATATTTGTCTTTTGATACAGTCTTGGTCTAGATTAAGTGTAAGTGTTTCAAAATCTGTGTAAATAGAAGGGAAATAGCAATGTTCTCTCTCTTCCTGCTAAGGAAAATAACAGGTGCATGCTTCAATAACATTGCCTAAAGGCTTTACTCATATAACCCATTTCAGATTTTCACATGTATCACTGAGCACATGTCACTTGGGCTTCTGATTCACACTGGTGAGGGGGAACCCTACACAGTAGGGCCTGAATGCCTGAAATATTATACTAGAGATATTTTGTCCACTTTGATCCTGGGGCTACTTTGTTAAATCAACGTTTTTTTCCTTTTTTTTTTTTTCTGTGGTGATTAAAAAAAATGAATCCCAGAGGCCTTTGTAAAGCTTGTTTTTATTTGTGTAACTGCCTAGAGATTTTGATTCCTGGAGAGGTTTTGACAGAATATAAAAGGAAACATTTTTGCTATCTTACATTTTTTTCATATTGAAGTTATGTTGTTTTCTTCTGTTCTTATCAGTGTAATGGGAGAAAAGGAATAGCTTTTGCCATGTGAGAGAATCAGAGAAGGTGCTGTAGTTCCTGTTTGTGTATCAAAGTGAGAAGGTTGAATAAAGATCGCTAAAAATATCTTGGCAAGGAAATCCTGAGAATTTTTGAGATAATTTGTGTTGCTTGTCAAAGGATTTTTATAGTTGTTCCTAAGTTTCAGCACAGAGAGATTAACTGTGCTAAATCAGTGTCTTCTGTGAGCTCAAAAAAGTATTTACACCCTTTCAGATGCTACCTATTTTAGTGAAGTTATCCAAAGAAATTTCTCTATGCATTTTAAACAATTTTCAGTGTCATTATAATTGATTTTGTTGAAATGGCTGGAAAAGCATTTCAGTTTGTTACCTGCAAATGACCAGCAACTGCACTAAATACTTCGGACAAATGCGTGCTGGGGAATAGGGAATTCATAGAGTTTTGTTTGAAACAAAGAAACAAACAAGCTCTTTTTTCTCTTTCCCTTTTTTAGTGGAAAATGTGACAATATTTCAGCTAACCAATCACTCCAGGCTTGGAGTGAATTCAAATTTCTTAAAATCCCTTCAAAAATGTGACTGCTGTAATAGCTTGTTAAGTGTAATGAGTGATATATGTCAGCAGCTGTGAAATACTTTTTCCCATGTTGATTTGCATTAAAAACTTGAACTTTCAATTAAAAAAAAGTTTGTGGAAAGCACTACCTTTCCACAGTGTAAGCAATCCTATAACCTTCATCATCGTTTTTTGTTTTCATTTTAAAAACATGACACTTGTAGTTGAAGAAAGGCAGACTACAATAATTGAATAACCCTCCATGCCTGTTTTCCTCTGCAGCTTGGGTGCTGTCAGACTGATCTGCACCTCTGTGTGACATCCAGCTCATATCTCCTTTCTAGGGTCTCAGCTGAATTCTGTTTGGGTTTTTATTTTTCGCTTTTGTTTTCCTTTCCAAAGAGAGGATCGGGAATATTGAAATATTCCTGGGGGGAAAAGGAGAACAATAATTCGATCAGATCTAGTGAATGAATCCCTAAGGAAGAAAGTTTAAGGTTTACAGTAGAGTATAAGAAGAGACCTGGCTTTGAGAAAGCAACCTTGAGAATAACTCCTGTGGGACCTCTCTCTTTAGGCAGGAAATCGCAGATGGAGGAGGTGCAGGATGAACTTGTTCACCGCCTCACCATCGGCCGGAGTGCTGCCCAGAGGAAGTTCCATGTGCCACGACCCAACATCCCGGTGGTTAACATCACTTATGACTCCTCCCCTGAGGATGTGAAAGCGTGGTTGCAGTCCAAAGGATTCAACCCTGTGTAAGTCTGAGGGCAAATGTCAGAAGACTTCTTTAAATTATTCTCCTGTTGGTAGGTAGGATGTGGTCTGATCACTTTTTGAAATCAGGCAGCCTTCTGAAAGTCAAGAAATGTCAGCTGCACTCTTGGAAAAAATACTTTGTTTTTACCTATATATTTATACACACATACACATATATATTTATATATGTAACTGTACCTAAGATATATATAAATAAAAATACATGTCAGTGTGGTTATAGATCTACAGAAGTGTAGATATTTATTAGCCTCCACCAAAAGGTGGTACTTATAACAAATCCTCAAATGACTTTAGCAGTCCTGTTGTATAAAAGTTTTTCTTAATTTAGTAGCCTTACTTGAGGCAAACCTACTTCTCTCTCTTGGCTGGTGTATTTTTGCTTATTTCTTGTTTGTTCCCTTGGTGTGTCCCAGGACTGTCAACAGCCTTGGTGTGCTGACAGGTGCTCAGCTTTTCTCCCTCAACAAGGAGGAACTGAGGACTGTTTGCCCAGAAGGGTCGAGAGTCTACAGCCAAATTACGGTACAGAAGTCTGCCTTGGAGGTATGGATAACCCTTCTTACTGACCTAATCTGGGTTGCCAGTTTTAAATCTGTACAAGTAAATAACTATTTCTGTGATGTAGATGGCTTTTTCTCAGTTCCCATCACGTCGATAAGCATTATTTCTATTTGAGTTATTTGGTATTAATCCATTGCAACAGGGGTCCAAAAAGCATTAGAAATAGTGCTCAAGTTTAAGACATTTTGTGCTGTAACCAGACTGAAAGAAGTCAAAATAAGCCAAAAAGAACTTTGGAGGAAACAATAGGAGAGAGTAAAATGCCCTTTCTTTTTCTTCTTGTTTTGCCTGGTACTTGGACAAACAGGTACTTTTGGTGGTGTTGTGTTAGTTTTGCTTTTTCTTTGTAGGGGAGATTTGATGTAATAGGCATGAGAAAGTGGTAGAGCTCACTGTTGAATCTAAGGCCTTACAGTCAAACCTTGTGGCACCTGCATTGGAAGGTTTCTAAGAGTAGCAAACACTTTGGACACTGTGCTACCAGAGTTACTGAGTAAAGGATAAAGTGTTATATCTCTGTATTTATTGCTCTGCAGCAGTTTGCTTTAATTACAGTAGTATTGTTTCTTAAACACCTTAAAAGCTTGTATACAGAGCTACGCTGAGGACAGTGCTTGCCAATTTTTAAACCAGTAGAATTGGAGAGGCACGTACTTCTTTTAAAACACTGTGGCAAGTGGAGAAATGGACTTGATAATGTCTAGAGGTTAGACTAACCCTAATGAGAAACTATATTCTCCACATCCCATTTAAAAGAAAATCTTGAAGTTTAAGATGTTTTTCTATCCTCTTATAAAGCTGAGACTGTCTTGCTTAAATGATTTTAAGCATTCACTGCCAGGCACAGTTTTAAAGGTAAATTTAAGATGATGTATATTTTACAATTTACCTGATCAGTGTGGATCAGAGAGCACCACTTTCCAACATTGTTAAAATTGCTTTATTCCTTTCGTCAAGCCCTGTTTTCCTGTGAGAGGGAGAAATAATTCACCTTCGTTCTTAGGAATATAAGTCACTACAGCCCAGAGCAATCCATTATTTCCTAGTGAAAATATATGCATATTCTTCAAATTTTTTGAATGTTAACAATGTTATTTCATTTTTGTAAGACTGCTATGTACTGAGGTGGAAGTGCTTTTGTAGTGGAAGTTGGTTTGAAAAGTACAGATACACAGGATTGGAGGGATCTGTCCTTTTTTCCCTCTGTGCTGTTATTCTGCTTGCTTCAATTAGGTCTCACTCTGCAGGAAACTGAAAAGTCCAAACTTGTCTAATAAATGCTCTACAAGTATTAATAAAAGGGTAAGGACAGTTCAACAAGGTCATTCCATTTTGTTAGTGAAAAGATAACTGAAATATTTATTTCAGCCTTGATATTTGAGGTTAAACTGATGAATTTCAGAACTTATGCAATTCCTGGTGGCTTTAGCCTGTTGTTTGTTGAATTTTATCTTCAAAGGCATTGCATCTTCGTTTCTCTCCCTATAATATTTCAAATCATATGGTTAAAAAAGGCTGTTCGTGTTTAAGGGTGGCTCTGGGACTCAGTATCACAACAAAATTGGTGGTGAGCTGGTGGGAGATATAGTGGTTGAAGGCCGCCTAGGAAATAGTGATCATGAAATAATAGAATTTTCAATACTCAGAGATTCAAGGAGAAACAACAATAAAACCTCTACGCTGGACTTCCGGAGGGCAGATTTTGACCTATTCAGAAGTCTAGTCCAGAGCATACCCTGGGAAACAACCCTTGAAAACAAGGGAGTCCAGGAGGGATGGATGTGCTTCAAACAGGAAGTTTTGAGTGCACAGGAACAGGCCATACCAGTGTGCCGAAAAGCAAGCTGGCGGGGAAGACAACCAGCCTGGTTAAACAGGGAGATTCTGAAGGAAATCAGGGATAAAAAGAGAGTTTATTGACTATGGAAGAGAGGGCTGGCTACTTACGAAGAATTCAGGAAGACAGCTAGATCATGCAGAAAGAAAATCAGGGATACAAAAGCACAATTTGAAGTTAAATTGGCCACTTCTGTTAGGGATAACAAAAAGTCCTTCTATAAATACATTAATAACAAAAGGAGGGGCAAAGAAAACCTCCATTCTTTGATGGACTCGGAGGGAAACATAGTTAATAGAGATGAGGAGAAGGCTGAGGTACTTAACACCTACTTTGCCTCAGTTTTTACCAGTAAGACAGGTTGGCCTTTAAGGCAGCTGGCCTCTGGAGCTGGTAGACAGAGAGAGGAAACCAAATAGCCCCCCTGTATTCCAGGAGGAAATAGTTAGTGACTTACTGAGCCACCTGGATCCTCACAAGTCTAGAGGCTGGGCACAGAGTGGCTGGAGAGCAGCCAGGTGGAAAGGGACCTGGGGGTGCTGATCGACAGGAAGCTGAACATGAGCCAGCAGTGTGCCCAGGTGGCCAAGAACGCCAATGGTATTCTGGCCTGTATCAGGAACAGTGTGGCCAGCAGGATGAGGGAAGTGATCCTTCCCCTGTACTCAGAGCTGGTGAGGCCGCACCTTGAGTATTGTGTTCAGCTCTGGGCCCCTCAGTTCAGGAAGGATTTTTATTGAGGTGCTGGAGCGGGTCCAGAGAAGAGCAACCAGGCTGGTGAAGGGACTTGAGCACAAGTCCTATGAGGAGAGGCTGAGGGAGCTGGGATTGTTTAGTCTAGAGAAGGGAAGGCTTAGAGGTGACCTCATCACTCTCTTCAACTACCTGAAGGGAAGTTATATCCAGGTGGGGGTTGGTCTCTTCTCCCAGGCAACCAACAACAGAACAAGGGGACATGGGCTCAAGCTCTGCCAGGGGAAGTTTAGGTTAGATGTTAGGAAGAAATTCTTTACAGAGAGGATGATCAGGCATTGGAACGGCCTGTCCAGAGAGGTGGTGGATTCACCATCCCTGGAGGTTTTTAAAAAGAGATTGGACATGGCCCTTAGTGCTATGATATAGTAATTGGAGTTGGATCAGGGGTTGGACTTGATGATCTTGGAGGTCTTTTCCAACCCAATCTATTCTATGATTCTATGAAAATGTCTACATGTGACCCAGCAAAGATGAGCTTTCATGTTCCAAATAGGGCTATGTTCTTATTGCTCAAATTGGAAACACTTCTAATAACAGAAGCATTTAAGCACATGCATACTTGTACCAGTGTCAGGCCTATTTTACAATTGAATGCTTTTTATGAGCAGTTACTGGGTTATGGCTTTGACCACCATAATTGTCCTACATGGTTAATGAGTGCCAAATTTTCATGAAGTTCTCTGGCATCCTTTGTGTAGCACTTGTGGTGTCATATTGCAGTAAATGCCCTGGGTATTATACAAATAGCAATAAGAGCCAGAGGCAGAAGAATTTTATAATTTTATAATTGGAATTGCAGTTGTTGTTGGAATTTAATAATTTTACCCTTATGAGGAAGAAAATTAATAGGTACCACACTTTAAATTTTTATACTTTATTTTCATGGTACCTCCATTCAGCTCTGAATCACACCAAAGTTTAAAGCATCCAAGGAACTCCCAGTGGAGCTGTGTGGCCCCTGTATGAACATGACCAAGTAACAGACTGCAAGAGGCAGAGCAAACCCACACACTAAAAAGAAACAGACTGCAATTGCAGGGAAGGTGTTTGGTGTTTAAGGCTTTCTGGGCCTGACCAAGCAAAAGCTGAAAGATAACTGTGTGAGACCAGTGTGTCAAGACAGCAGAGTTGGTCATAGCCAGGACCAAACACCTCCTTTCTGCCAGAGGAAATGGTGGTGGCCAGCAGGGGTGTCCTGGGAGGAGGCAGGATGTACCATGCTCTGTGTCCTGATCACAGTATCCCTCCTGGGAGCTCTTTCTGGGGCTGTACCAGAGAGCTGAAGTTGACCTTATATACCAAGTACAGGACATTACAGTAGCTTGGCTGGTCATACTTACTTCTACTTTACATGGTTTTACTTTTTCGTTGCGAGTTGAAAATATTAATAGCTTCCATGATTATGGGGGTTTTATGTGTCCATTTCCTTGACTGCTGGTGAGCATTGGAGGCTCTGGTGTTGAAAAGGGCTAGAGAAGATAAGTGTAGAGACACAATATCCTGAACACCATTTCTGTCAGCTCCATAAGGGAACATTCTAAATCTCCTTCTGCTCCATCAGTGGGAAGCACAGGCACACATCGCTTTAAAAGTGAAAATGGTTTCTGTCTAATACATGTATCAAATTGCCTGGAAGAACAGCTTGTTCTCTTTGACACCTCACTGAAGTGGGATTGACTGATGGAGTTTACCTCATGAGCTGGTTAGAGACTAAGCTGGGTAAATCACTATGGCCAAGGTCTAGCAGGCTGTTCCACAAGTTGTATTCCTAAGAACAGCCCTAGGCTGCTCAGCTACGCTGTCCCTCACTTCTGAGTAGGATGTGCCTGTTGTACTGTGCCACCTGTGTATCGCAGTTGGTTTAGTCAAGCAGCATTTCAGGCTCATCAGTCATGTTGTCATTGATGTTATCAGGAGGGCAAACTGTTGCTGTTCAGTTATTTTCAGAAAAATACTTCTATGTGACTCCTGATAAAGCATGTTTTCGGGTATCTGCTGATCTTTTTGTGCATGACTTCAGTGGTGGGTGACTGCTGCATTTGCTCTGTATCTAAAACCAAAAGGGTGAGGACAGAATGAATTAAGACAAAGAAAACTGCTTTTTCACCTTCAGAGAATCACTTATAAGTCCCCTGCTTTGCCCTTCCACTCTGGGAGAAGAGAGCAATGGTAATTTAAATAGAAGGAACATTGTAGCCTCCCTCCCTGTGGACACCTAACCTGTCTGGCCAGGTAATGGCACCAGATAATGCATCGTAATGGATATAATCGGATATATCTAAATTAAAATGTATGTAATAGGATACATTTTCAGTGTTCAGAATCAGCTGAAGGATTTTCCCCTTAACAGTCCTGGAATTTCTTTTACAGATTTCAAAAATAGTTTCTGCTTCCTTATTCAGAGGCCATTTTGGAAGCTTTGAAGTTTTGAAGGTCATGTCATAACCAAATAATACAGTAGCAGATATGGCTCTTGCTTTATTCAAAGTCATGCACACTTTGGGGAGTTCTGCTCTAGTGGATATGTGTCCTGGCCCTGGTAATAACTTCATTTATGTTGTCAAAGCAATCTGTTTGCAGCTGGCTCAGCAGACCTGTTTTTCGCTCTTAAAAGGTGAAATAAAGCCATGTCCTCACAATACTTCACTGTTCCTAATATTGTGATATGGTTCAGTTCCAAGTACTGTGCAACAGCTTTGAAGCCTGTGTCTCTGAGAGGCAAATGCAGATGGTGTATTGTGTAATGTGAGTGACTGGAATTGAATCCTTGCTTAGGCCTTGGCTGTGCAATCCCACGTGTGTGCATGAGCTCTGTGTTTACATAAATCTAAAACCATCAAGGATTTCTTTTCAGTTTTTTAATTTCTAAATATTATTGCACTGATATTTAAGTACTCAAAGGTGGAATCTGACCTTTAACTCTGCTTTTACTGAAGAAGTATTTCACCCCATATGTATCCAACACTTCCAGTGCCTTGTGTGAGAATTAAAGATGCTCAGCAGTGCTGAAAGGCGAGCTCACACTTTTAATCTACAGGCTTTTTCTGGTCTGTATTTAAGGGTAGTGTAAATATTTTCTTACTGGAGCTGCAAGGTGAGTTTAATTTGTTCAAAAACCCATCTTAATAAAATGCTGTAAGAGGAATGTCATCACGTGCCAAAACCACAAATAAACTCTTTTTTTTTTTTTTTGTTTATAGGCAAACAGTGGTAGTTCAGAACTGCAAGAAATTATGAGAAGACGACAGGAAAAGATCAGTGCAGCTGCCACAGATTCAGGTGTGGAGTCCTTTGATGAAGGGAGCAGCCACTAAATGTGTTTCCTCTTTTCTTTAATTCCATTGTCCATAGAATCATACCATCCAGCTTTGCTTTAGGAAGCAGTGAAGGGGAATGTCTTACTATATTGTAACTTAACTAGCCAACATAAAGAAAATTTACAGTAATCTCCACAGAAGTACCTACTGCTGCCTTCTCATCATGAAAAATAAACAGATAAGAAATTCAGTGGAGCTTCCTGGCAGGTGAAAATATTGGTACATGATTCATTCACACCCAAAGATGAGTCTTGGCTTTATGGAATTAACATGACAGATAAATTGTCACACATCTTTGTGATTCATCTGAGGGAAGCTGAGCCAGCAATAAAAAAGCATTTGACCCCTTCAGTAATTATAAGATTCTGAATCCCATCTCTTGCTGTAGTGTGCAATTATGTCTTTTTGGCTCAGTCTTTCTTGTCATGCATTTGGCTGCAGGACATTTACTTAAGTTGTCGATGCTGGCAATTGGAGAGGAAATGTTTAGAGAATGAACAGCAGCCCAACATAGACTGAATCTTTCTTGCATCACTCCCAAGGTGTTTTACTACTAATGATGCTGTTTATAGCAAAATAATACTCTGTACATTGATTTTATCAATGCTTCACCCATGATGAACTATAATATTGCACAGAAGGAATAACTAGAATATAGTAACACAGCTCAAAGAGATGATGAGGTCTGCTGTAGCTGGCCATGCAACAACTCACAGTACTTTTTTTTAAATATACTTGCATTTTTTTTTGCCTGTAACTTAACCCATCAAAAGAACAGTGTGTAATCTAGACTCCTCTGTGTGTTGATCCCAGATATCAGTTTTTTTCCTTATGTAAAAAACTATTATTCCTTTATAAATGTAATCTTTTGGGAAAGCAGATTCCTGGAGGCAAAAGGGGGAAAAGAAGAGGAAACATCTTTTCCAGAAAATGTTATTTTTGAAATGAAATCATTTTTGTCACAAAATGTTCTGTTATGGTCATGTGATTTTATATATAATATATTTATTATATATAATATATAATATCACCTAATTTAGACAAATTTAATCATCTAGTTTGATTGAGTTTCATAGTGCCTTTTTCACACGAATCAGCTTAAAGTCTGCAATAAACAGTATTTCTTGTCTGTTAAATTGTTGTATCTTTGTGGCTACAAAGACAGTATTGAAATAAGAAAGAAATCTTGATTTTTGCCATTAGTTTACTTTTCCTCTGCATACTAGGGAAGAAAAGAATCCTATTCATTTTTCACAAAAGAAAATATTAAATTCTTAATAAAGTTGTTAAGTGCCATTTATTGTAAATGCCCTCACAAATACTACTTCTGTGTGTTGGTTATGTGTCTATGTATGTTTTTACATTTAATATATATTCTTTATGCTTGTCTGCATAAGCATGGTCTTATTCAGAAATGGGTCAATAAGTAATAAATCCTAAACTGAAGACTTCAACTGCCATAGGAACCACTAAAAAATGGATTCTTGTCTTATCCAGTGAAAGAAACAACAATTATCAATTATTTTCTCCCTCTAGGAAACTCTTCAACCAGCACACCTGCACCTTGACTATATCCATTCAACACCTATACAGAGCTTTAGGGGAAAAATTGTCAGTCTCACTCAGTGCCTGTCATTAAATGCCAAGCCCAGATCTCCAAAGGCTTGGTATATTCTCTTACTCAAAATTCCCTCTTCCCCACACTTTCTGGTCAGCATCCATAGCAAGCCTGGAGAGTGGAGCTGTGAAACTGCTCTCACTTGTAAGTATAGGAGTAGGAAACTTTTAAAAAGGTCTTTGAAATTCCTGTTTAAAAATTAGTCCCTTTTCTCATGGAAATTATGTCTGATTCCATTGAAAACTCTGTGGCAGTAACCTGCACCTCTGTTCCCCTGCTAATTACCAAAATAAGAAGCCAATATTCATCCTCTCTGCAAGCTTATTCTAGCATTCAGCACATGGTTGGCTTTTGCCCAGAAAGAGGCATCAGCTCTGAGAGTTTTCTGAGTTTGTGGAGTTTGGCATGCCAGGGTCTCGGCGGAAGGACCCATGGTTCATCTCTGAGAGAAAAGAGGTGGCTTCTAAGTTGGGTTTTTTTTGAATTTGGATTTTTGCGTGGTTGTTGTTTAGAAAGAAGCAAACAAGTTTGAATGGCTTAGTGCTCAGAGACATCTTTGGAGATATTTGGGGAGGGAAAAAGGAAACCCCTTCCATATACTGAAGAGATAAGCAGAATAATCTGGGGTTAGTTGGTTTGTATCTGTCTTTTTTCATAGTTTCTAAATTAGCTACTAATGACTTAACAAGCCAGTACAACTTCAGCTGTATTTTAACCTTTAACTTTGCTGAACTAACCTTTATGATTTCTGTGTTACAGTCTGTGAAATCTGGGGCCAAGGCAGCTATTTTCCTTTTTGCTGGAATTTCCTTGGTGGTTTGAAAGCACCGCAAGGAACTTCACCCCTATGCTGTGCAGTTTTTGAATTTTGAGTTTGTTGGCAGTTATAAGAAATCAAAAGAAGATCTCATCTGGGGTTCCTCAAATGAAAATGTTTACTTCAAAATATTCACTGGTTTAAATGAAATCAGTAGCAAAATGTAGTGTTTCATTCAAAATGTTTTCTTTAGGATTTGAGCAGTGAGGCTTATTTTATAATACTAATATTAAAAGGATGTGATACATGAAAAATTTCTGAAAAGTAAACAAAACAGTTTTTTAAATGTCAAAGAAAGTGCCTTATTAAATGTTTGATAACATAGGGACTACTTTACTAATTTGCTACCAACAAGCTGCCTTTTTAATTGGGTGGAGGGAGAGTTTTAGCACCATATGTTCACTCAGCAGTTTTATGTTTTCAGAGCACAAACCTCTTTAACATCAGCAAGGCACTTCTTCCCACTCCTTTAGGCTGCCTGTTCCCTTGGGGTGCCATGGAGAGAGCAAACCACTGTGAAACCTCCCATGTAATTCAGAAAGAACATTTCTAACCAATACTAATGGATGGAGTAGTTTAATTACCATCTAACAATTCAAATGTGAAACAGTGCTTCATTCAGAGAAATTGTGATCTGTAAGTGAGTTTTTATACATATTTGTATTGCTCCAAAGCACTGTGCTGTATAAACGTTGGGGTGTGTGGAGGGGTCTGGGAAATAAGTGCAGACTTCCACGATTGATGTGCGCAGAAATCAATGGTTATGAGGCAGTAGATATCCAAAATGGTATGAGAGTCTGAAATGTTCAGAGGTTCCAGTGATTTTGAGTGTATTCTTCAGTGTTTGTGAACCTCTGAAAGCATCTCTTGAAGGGCTTTGCTGGACAGTAACAAACAAATATAACTGTAAGATGTGAATTAAGTCCTTTTAATTAGGAAACCTGTTGTCACAAAATTTTTATTGTGTTTCTATTGTGGGAAGTGAAGGCATTTTGAGTTTTCAGCTTTTTAGGTCATATGCAGAAGCAAGCCATTAGCTTGAATACTAGACCCTTGTCCAAGCAGGTATCTCCACTCATTTTCTGGGCTGTGTCTCGTGCACAAGGGAGTCATGATTATGGGAAGTCATATTTCTTGCCTAACTACCACTTAATAGGAGCCCAGGCTTTTTATTATATCCTCCCTCAACTGTGAAGTCTGTGTAGTGTCTAAAACAGCCTTGTATAAGGATTGAGTGATATATCAAGAGTATTTGAGGGAATACTTTTGTGCTCAGCCTCCACCTTTGCATACTTCCGAACAGCATCATGTATGGGAAGTGCAAACATGAGGGACTCTGTACTGGATTCTGTGTTTATTTCACAAACATGTTGAATTTCTACTGTGGCTTTGTTAATTTTTTGCAAGTAAGTGACTATTTAATTGTCTTTGGCTCTCCTGTAACTTTGAGTTTCTCTGAGTTGCTTAGGTTGCAACTGCGGCCTTCAACTACCTCAGCATTCAGACCAAAATTAGTATCAAAATACTAATCTATGCTTCTACTCCTTGTTTTTTGTAGTTTAAAAGAGGACATGAAAGAAAATAGGGAGCCCTCCTAGATGTTTCCTAGCCACTACAGCAGAAAAGCTCGGTCCACCCTCATCCCATGCACACCAAGAGCATTAACAACTTCAACCACAAGAAGTGGTCGAAAGCAACAGCTTTTGCTGCCACAATGAAACTACAGTTTGCACACAAGCCCTTTAAAAAGTTAGAAGTGGGAGGGAGGTAGTTAATGAACAAAGGGAGGGAAGGACCATTTTAGTGAATAGGATGATGATGTTGATTATTTGACAAGGGAAATTTGTCTTCTTTTGGTGTAGGACAAAAACCAAACAGTAAAATGAAGTAAAGCACAAGTAAGGCTTCCCAACCTGTTCTTAATTCTTGTGTGAGGTTTGAAGGAAACAGTTCTGAAGACCCAAGGATGTCAGGGTGCACTGCACAGGACATGCTAAGAGAGGCAACACTTCCACCCATGGCTCTAAAAACTTCTTAGCACTTCTAAATCCTGTTCTTAGGTTTACCTGTTTGCTGCTTCTGTGGCAGCAGACACAGCATGAGGCAACAAGGAGAAAACCTGCCCTGGTTTCAATGGATGGTCACTCACTGTGCAGAGCTGCTTTTACAGACATCGGGTCAGCAGATGCTGTAAGAGCAGCAGATCAATACCGAACATCCATAGTGTCAGCAGAGCTATGGACATGAAACCCATAATTCAAAAAACCTACTACCAAACCTGAAGCTCCAGCCAGCTTTACAGCTGTGATGACTTGAGAGTTTTATTCTGACAGATGCTGGAAACAATATTAACATGCAGAATGCATCCAAAACATTCTTTCAGACTTCTTTTGACAAGGTAAAACCAAAAGTATGATGTGTCAATTCAGGCTAAATGGCTCTGCATGAGTGTTCTGAACCACATCATCTTCCAGACTTGTTACTTTAGTTATGTGTTGAATGCTAGGAGAGGTGGTTTCCACTGTCATCCCAATCTGCCCGCTTATGCAGTTTTGTGTACTGTGTGGAGTAGGAAAAGGTATTTTTATGAAGAAGCTTTCATTGTAATTGATTTTGTGATTAAGTAGATATTAAAGGCAAAATACACACCTGTTACTGTGCAACTGGAATAATTTTTGACATGAATTCAAAAACTGTATAGTAAATTCAGGCTATTCAGGCAGTGCTGTTTGTAACAATGTGATTTTGGCATCTTTGCAGCAATCTTGTCCCCTGTCATGTTCAGCCAAGCTTCTGTTACAGCCAGCTCACACTGCGATATTTTGTGGGCACATGAATGATTTAGAAGTAACCTGCTTACTTGGTCTGTGATACAGAATAAATATAGACTCAATGGGCAATGGCTAGGAGGAGGCTGTACATGAGAAAGAACATTTGTAGGTTGTTTTTTTTTTCCCCTGCCAGTTCTCTAGAGGGATGTGAACATATTTTCTGAGTAAATATGTAATGCAACTCTGAAATACATTTTTTAAAAAAGCATAGAGGCAAGACCTAAATGGCCAAGCGCTCACTTATAATTCTGTCTTCTGCTCACATTAAGCCAGATAAATCTTTACTGTTCCCACTGGAATGACAGACCCTCCAGCTGAGGCACACCAGTGAAATGAGAGAGAAATGTGTGCCATTGAAGCCTTTCTTGTTCGCAGCTCGCTCTCTGAAGACCTGCCCTTTTGCATCCATCTCTATGCATCATGCTTGGAGAAACAGTATCTCTGCTTTAGGGCTGGGATTTGTGGAAACAGTGGAAATAGTATTAGATGCATGGAAACAGAAGAGGGGGAAATGCATATCATACCCATTTAGTAATGAGAGGGGGAGTCCTGTTTCTTTAGTAGCCTTTGCAAGGACCTGTTTTATTTGGGGCTTATGTTAAGTTTCTGCAGCTTTGCATACTCTATATGGGATAGTTTGAAAGAAGTTTTCCCTTATAACCAATACAATGTTGATGTAGATTTTTTTAAAAGGAGTATAAACCTATTTACCTGTTAGTGGAATAACTTTGGAAGAAAAAAAGAAGAATATCAGTTGAAGGAGATTACTAGGTTTCTTGAAGTAGCTGAGCTTCTGAACTACAGCCTGGTACCCTGCCAGGTGATAGCAGACCCCAAGAATAAATGAAATAAAAAGCATATGCAGTTGTGTTTGCTGTTTTGCTGACAGTGACTTCTTGACAGGTAAGCAATCCAGTGTGTTTACTTTCAGTTCAAGTTTGTTTTGTTTACATTGAGTACCATTGCTGCTGACTTCCAAGGAGGTGACACAAAGCAACAGGTTACAAAAATGCCATCAACATCCATTCTGACAGCATCCATGTCACAATACAC